ACGGGAGTATGAGTTGTCTCCTGTAGTGTTTGGTGTTTGTCTGACAAAACTATTCACATGGGACCCACATCTCCATTGACCTAAAGCAGGGGTTCTCAAATATTTAGGTCAGGGCCCCCCACAATATGTGTAAAATCCCCTTTGCTGAATGCTAAAGGCAAAACGGTATTTCTCTTAATATTTTGTGCCCAATATTTGCTGAAATATAGTAGAAGTTTATATAATCTTGAAATTATGTCACCATTGGGGTAGTTTTATTTAACAAAAGTTCAACATACGGTATTATTTGTTAGTACATATACATTTCTATCTCATAAAGGCATTTAAAAGTGGCAATAACATTTCTTTCAAATATCCTCCTACCTTCCAACTGAAAAAGAATTGTGGATCCTATTCTTACGCTCCACTGTGAGAACCACTAGGGTTTTCATCCGTGCCTTAAAATGCGGAATTGTCCCGTATTTTAGAAAACTGTGTATTGAATGGCTTTTGTCCCGTATTTTCAGTGTCGCCTTAAATGCATCATCACTGCATATCACACGCATGACACACTATTCTTGTTTTTATTCATTTGATTGGCCGAAAGGTAGATGCTTAAACCAATCAGTATCAAAGGGGGGCATAGGCTTGATCACATCCATGGGCGTAATGTTGACAACTGCCAGCGTGGTCCGTGCATGCAGCATCATCATTATCATCATCATCATCTTCATCATGGCAGAGGCACGACCTCAGAATGTTTGACAGACTCAGAATCAGAGCCCATCCCGTTCAACTCACTTCATTTGAGTGAGTTTTGGAATGTTTATGTTAATGTATTAAAAGTGCTCAACCCGAATGGTGTCCCTTATTTTTTTTCATTGATTTCAAGGTTGCCAGAGTCTTTCGATCCTTAAAATGGTATTCAATTTAGGTGATTTTCATGATTCAATAGAAATAAATAATATATTCTGCCTCTTATTCTTACTGAGTGGTTCTCCCTCTAGTAGTGTCTTGTATCCCAGTTTGGTGAGCAGGAATACAAGTTCTCAGTAAGAGCCCAGAGTGTGAAAGTGTCAATCTAATAAACAGGTTAACCAGGTCAAGATGGGCTTCAGTTTTGGCTCCTCCCTTTGGGCAGGACTAACTCGCTGTCGGATTCAGCAGTCAACATGTCTATTGTTGTGCGTTTCACTCACACATATTGTTTCTGCTTAATATTGAAGGAAGTTAGGAAGTTTCCCCATGAGTCAAATAATGTTATATATACTGTACATACATACAAGTATATATATCTATATTGCACATGTTTAATTTAACAGGTCATCCACGTTTTGTGGGCTGATTATTCATAATACACAGATTTATTAAAGTTGTCAACTTGATGGAAGCATTCTGTTCTATGACTCCCAACCATAGAGGGTTAGTTACTGCAGAATAAAACGTAAATGCATAAACATGTACATTCAATTAAATTTCAACTTCATGCTTTTAGATGATGGTGTAATCTATATACAATCCCATATTGACAAACCATTTGTGATCCAAACAACTACGTGAATGAATGAATGATCAGAAAACTAATTGATTATCAAAATATTTGTTAATTACAGCCCTAGATTGAACCTCAAACATTAAATGTAGGCTATCTTGTAGAATCATATCACATCAAACTTGTCAATGTGGCTCATTCCCACTCAAACAATTGCAGTTGAAAGAACGTACAAGTAACATCTGGAATCAAAGTGGTCCAAGTTTGATTTCGTACATTTCTCATTAACATGGACACTATCGCTCAGCCCTCTTCACTGTAACCATCCGGCGTCTTTTATCAGTTGTTTGTTTACGCTGGAGGTATTTCTGTAAACCTCGGCCTCTCTGTCCTTCGCCCAGTGCCCCTCCTTGCCTTATATTAGAACCAGCTGTGGTGGGACTTGCCCTGAATGAATGGCTCTTTGTGATTTGGCTGACGTTCCAGTCCTGAAGGTCTCCGCTTCACCCTCCGCCCTCAGAGCTACTGGCATGACCGCATGGGAAAAACAATGCACGGACCACAACAAGCATGGCTATTACCACGTAACGAAAAGGTCACTTACTGTAAATAGGGAATCAGCATGTTACAACAGTGAACGGTTTTGTAAGCAACTTCAATTGTATTTCCTGTTTTAAAGTAGTGTATATTTATGACCATGGGACACTGTACTATTGTATTTTTCAACAATAATATATTTAAAATAGTCCATCATAACTACGACCAACAGTTGAACCAATGACAATCGGCTTCAATGATTTCAAATTATTTCAACCAATCAAGCACAAGGACTAGTTGTCTTCAAAAAGTGTCTCTCTCTCTCTTCACAGTTTGAAAAGTAACTGACATTCACTTAAAATCTGCTTTTCATTGTATATTATAAACAATAAGTCTGGTTCCTGTGTTTTCACTAGGTATCAGACTTATTGTGCCTCGGTCAGGTATATATTGTAATTCTCAATGTTGGTTATAAACAAAAAAGAAATAATCTGCAAGAAGAATTGTCCATGTGATATAGGTTAACGGAGGGTAGTAAATTAAGTAAATGGTTATTCTAAATAGCAGTAGTAAAAGAAAAACAATGGGATTGTTGGACCCTATTCATATTGTAGTCCTGAATGCCAAAGTTACTCAAATGACTCAAAAATGCATTAATCTGTCTAAAGACTCCTTTGAGCGAGTAAATGAGAAGGGAAAGAGAAATAACTTGGTATAAAAAAACTGTTTAGAGCCTATGATCCATCAAGAAAAGTTTTTCTCGCACTGTCCCAGAACCAACTTATTTTGTGAGCCTGACTTTGTGAATGTTTAAAAGAGCTGGAAGAGCAGTCTACAAATGTGCGCTATATTGATTCTGAGTCTGAACTAAAACCAGAGTATTGAGCTACTGATTACTCATTTACCACAACCAAACCAACCTTGTGGTCTTGGCACAAATTATATTATTTACCAGATCTCCAAAGTCTTTGTTAAAGGCTAAAAAACCTTAGCTATAGACCGTAACACTGTTTAAGGGAGTTTTAATCCTGTGTTAAATGTTGTACTAGATTTGTAATTTGTTGTCTGTATTGCACCGAGTTTTCGCCATCTCTGCTCCCACTCTCTGGAACTCTCTCCTCCCTCATCTCACAAACTCGGACTCACTAAACTCCTTAAAAAAGCAGTTAAAAACTCACCTCTTCCTTCAAGCATACGACTTTTAGTTTCAGCTTTGTACTCTACGCTTAGAGTTTTTTAGTTTTGTGTGTCTGTCTGAATGTGTGTGTGTCCTGAATTGTGAAGTCTTTGAGTTTGTGAAAGCGCTATATAAAACCGACGTATTATTATTATTATTATTGGCTATTCATGGAGACCTGAATTCTCCCTTATGTGATAAAAATATACATCTATTTATCTATCTTATGCTATGCTATAAGAGTGCAGCTGTTTGTATTAAGATAGCAGAATTCTAATTTACTTCCTTAGAAACATCACTCCTTAGTGAGACAGCCAGACCCCCCTCGCAAAATGTGGAGCAGAGAAGTATGAGAATCAGCAGACACAGTCATGCTGCTTATCTGTGGACAATGCACTCAGCAGTAAAAGAGCTACAGTGTCCATGAAGGGAGTGCTCTATGAAGCTTAAGGGTGCAGTCTGGTTTTCAGTCTTAATAGGTGATGTCTGCAGTTCCCACAAAAATGAAGGGTGTGTGGACCATGGATTAGGATTGAAAGTTTTAACCAATCACAAGCTCGGAATCTTGATTTCATTAGCCCTGGACTATAATAATGGAGTTTTTCATCCTGGATCCCTACTCTGCCCTGGTTATTATAAATGGCTTCTCTCGGCTCAGACTTATTAGGGCGAAACTAAGGGTTATCTTGGCGGCTAAAAATATGGTTTGCGATAGAAGATGAGGCCCATTTCTGGTTCATGACATTTGTGGACATATTTGGTTCTCTCTGCTGCCTAAGGAGAGCTCCATAAACATGTAGACCAACACATTTGACAATATCAAGTCATCTACATGTGTTTGTGTGTTGTGTGTGTTCTTCTTTTTTTTTGACGTTTTTTTTCCCTTGATCATGTTGGACGTGGATAGCAGGGGGTAGTATGTCATTCACTTGAGACATGTCCGTTCTAACCACTGGAATGTTTTAAGTTGGTTTTAGGCATTGCAACCCATGTTTACAGTCTGTGGGTGCACGCTTTTGTAACCTGTCATAAGTCTGTTTTTATCTCCATGTCAACATAACTACTCCCCTTTAATGAACTCTGAAGGTTCTAAATCCCAGCATGCTCCTAGCGCTCTTGTGCCATAAACAGTTGTGTAGCATGAGAAACAGGATGTATGCTGTACCCACTGTATAATGTATAATGCCATCTGCAGCCATTTATCCTCATAATGGGCTTTGCAAATAAGATTTCCGAACATTGAAGGGTTTTTCAACATTAATTACACAGATTATAATGTTATTTCCTGTTTCTCTCAATTTTGAATGAATTATAAATTAGTATTTACTTACCAACTGACATGAATACTTGTATATTACGTTATTCATGAATAGGCTTGCTACAGACAATATTATTTTTAACAAAAGTCAGTTGTCGTATAGAAAATATGGCAATAACACCTTCCCTTGCAACTTGCAACTTTTTGATAGATTGGCAGACAAACATATCTATCTACTGTACCTACATACAGTACATACCTATCTATCTATCTATCTATGGGTAAGTAGATAGACGTGGGTAATACTTTATTGATCCAGGGAAATTCAGATGATTTGGTCATAATTTCACAATTCACTATAACATGGAGCTCTATTCTTCAATAGGCAACACTAATACAAACATCATGACTTACCAAAGTCCTTCCTACTGTTCTTCTTAGATTGAAATGATTGGCTGTGTAAAGTAAGACCTTCTTCAAACTGACCCCTTTCAATGAGTTTTATAGAAACTACTGTAATTGTCAAAAATAAGAACATTAGTTTTGTGTCTTTTTAGGTTGTGGCACTAAAGGAAGGGGCGGCTGAGAACTGGGGAGCAGTGGTCCTGTCCCTGTGGCTACAGCAGCTGGTAAGAAGTGAAACACCTCTTTTTCCTAATGCAAAATCCATTTGTAAGCTTTTGCAGAGGCATCAGTAGGTAGATTGAACGAGGCAGCGGAAAATTGTACTAAGATTCACTGTGTGTGGTGGGAAAACTGGTATTTCTGACCTCCACAGCAATTATGAAGTCTAATCCGTTGTAATGGCAATAATAATAAGGTAGCTGTTTGAATAGAAGCGGAGTTTGATAAACTTTGTGGACCTGACCTCTCCGTTGTGCTTGGCCTTACAAAATTCACTTCAGGGTGGTCAGGGTGATCCAAATATAGTAACGAAATGAGTATACACATGCTGTAAGGAGACGTTTTTGTTTTTTTGTGAGAGCATTATGGCCTTATCTGTGCATAAACTGTTTACGGAGCACAGACAGATATCCACAACCACAGTGTAATAGTGGTATTCTTGTGACATCTTACAGGACATACCAGAAGTGTGTAATTTGTGCTGGCTGACCGGCATCATACCCCCTCCGGGCCGGGTTAGGGCTAATGGCAAGCACGCTGTTAAACTTCCGGCTCCCTGCGTGGTATGTGACTGTATGCAGGATAAGAGTTGGGAGGGGCGGGGGTAATGGCCGCGGGCATTTGTCCTAGATGAGACTACCCCTCGAAAGTCGACCAAAGCTGCACACTGGGTTCTGTTCTTAGCTCAAAGGGACTCTGTCTGGGAGAGAGAGGCAGGTCAACCGCCCCGCAGCACCCACACTGCAACACAGATGTGGCCGAGAACCACGCAGCCACTGGTGAGGAGGCCGAGGCGGAGGAGGGATGATGTTGTGGGCGTTTGAAGGGTGCGACAGTCGAGTGGAGTGGTGTGGGAATTATTGACAGTGGCATGTTGACTCATCATGGTTTTTGGGCCAGAAGTTGAAGAAGAAGTTTGGCAAATGGTAGATTTTCTCAGACAAAGTTATGTAATGCCAATGCTGTTGCTCACGTGTTAAATGAGGGGGACTTTCCCGTACTTAAAAGGATAGCTATGAATTATAATCAAAAACGTAACAGCTTTCACAATTTCTTCTTCATATACTCTTAAGATCAATCTGAAAACAACTTAAGATTCCCCATCTCTTCGTTGTGGCATCCAAAGAAGCAATGATTTTCTTTCACAGAGTCAGTCACAGAGCTATTAAAACTAGGGCTGGGTATCTTTTAGAGTTGGCCAATGTGATAAATAACTAAAGGTACTTTTATTCAATGTAGTTTCCAAGGATTTCAATACAACTCAGTAGAAGAAGCAATGGCTTTTGTCTCCTGATCTAGTGCAGAATATATGTACAGTATTTGCAAAAACAGATAAGTGACATCAGAATAAAAAGGGAAAGGCGTAGAACTTTCAATTTTTTTGAAAAGCCTTTCAATTTTACTGCCAATAACAACTCATCAATAGACACACAGCATTCAGTTATGTAAAAATTGGTGAAAGAGAATAAAGACAATATAGCCGAATGTCAACCCCAGTGACCACTATGCACCCGGGCCATAGAATAAAACAATATTAAAGTAAATACAAATATGAGGAGTACACATTTTGACAACTTTTCTCAATGGAGATTTTGCCGTTTTTGCTCTCTTTGATACATGATACATTGTCAACAGCTTGGCACAAGAATAGGCACTGCAAAACATCTGCGCTACTATAACACGAGATCGACATGAAAGGGACATGTCCTCAGACCTTCTAAGACCAACCCGTAATTTAGGACCATTCATTTCCACCACTGTTTATGAAATAACTTTTGTGAATTGACTTTATTACAAAGTAGAATGGCGAATGCGGTGAGTTCAGGAATCAGGCGGAAATTGTCATGTCCACTGGGATGGGATGTTTGGTCGGTAAACTGCTCACTGTAATTATACCTCATCAAGTGTCCCATCTCAGCGCCGTCCCCCGCCCTCCTGGACTCTCTTGCCGCCTCCGCTTCTCACACTTCCACCGCTGTATAAAGCACAGCACATCATCCGTCACACGTTTCAGCCATGTTCAAGATAACGCAGCTCACAACTCCTCGCTTATTCCTGATAAGTTACAAGTGTTGCTATATAAAATGAGCTGTCTGCATTCTTAGCACGTACTGTACACGCTTGGGATTGTCACAGCCACGCTCTAAGTTAGTCCTGTCGTCTTATGCTGGAAAAAGGACCTTTTATGGTAAATCATGAGTTTGAAGGGACATCATTCTTACTCAGAGAATTATCTTTATCTTATATTAAAAATGGATTCCTAAATCACAGTAGTTATCTCGGCGGAAAAAAACGGTTCAATTCGCCAACACAGATCAGAGAATCAAACAGTTCAATTACAAGAAATGCTATGATAAAAATAATAACATAGAGACATTGGTCTGAATGGTTTTAAGAACAGTAAACTTGATCAAATAACAAGTACAAGAATTTAAATACATAGTGAATTTATGCACATGGGATGTTTATGTGCTAGGTCTTGGAGAAATAATTAGCTATTTTTGTGGAAACGTTTTTAATAGTTATGTTCAAGAAATCAATAAACAAACATTGTGAATGAAGAATAACATAGTGTGATAGATAGTTTTAATAACTGTAGCTCCTTTAATAAAGGCATATTTTACATTTATATGGAGATGGCAATTATGATTTTTTTGTCACACTGTCCTGCCATTTGTATGAGGAAGAAGAAAAAGAAGACAAAAACTACCAAATGAGAGTCCAGAAAGTGAAAAGCCATCTGAGGTCAAATTAGTCAGTGTTTCCAAGTGCCCTACTTTTCACAAGAGAGCATTGACTGACCAGGGTCACGGGATAAATGAAAAGACAGGGGAAGCTCAGATCATGCCTCACTTCTCTATATTTTTCACAAATTCAAATACATTTAGTTTGTTTTGTATGTTTCAAATGTATTTTTCACAAGTTGCCGATTATATTTATCTCATAGTACGTTATGGGCTTTTTTTATGTTGGGACTGCTGCTAGGGGAGGTGAAATCATTCATTATAAAATCCTTGAATAGTTAAATATTGAAATTGAAAGTGACATTCACACTGCTCACTTCTACTAAGAAATCAGAGTGAGTAATTGCCGCCTGATCATCAGCTGACTTTCAAAGGGCTAAATAAAGCAGCAAACACAGAGAAACCAAGAGAACTGAAGAAAACACATGTCCCAAAGACTTATGGAAGAGAAAGTGAGAGCTGTGTGTACGTAAACCCGACATTAAGAAGCAAAGTTAGCGTGCGCAGATGATTCCTAATAAGGCTGAAACTGGCAGTCTCAAAGCTCCGTACTAGAATGAGCTGCCAGGAAACTTTTCTCTGTAACTCCTCTCGACTGAACGCTTAGAACAGCAACAAACACGCTGAGAAAGTGAGTGGATGAAATTAGACAGAGGAACTGGGTGGTGCAAACGATAATATTGGTGTAAATTAAACTGAACTGCCGTGAAGATGTAGGAAATGAATGAATGCACATTTTTCTTTTGCAGGTGAGAGTTTGTGGGCGACTCAGGGATCGGTGGCCACAGACTCAGGATGGCGGAGGTAATGCGTATGGATCACACTTTTCCAGGTGGGTTTTACATTATTCTAGGAAAGAAAAGTTAAATAAATCATGTTACACTGATTGCAGATAAAGGGATTGTAAAGTTCAAAGCCACATTGTACATTGTACAGTAATTTGGTGATTGTGTCAGTGTCTATGCTGTATATACAAAGTTTTTTTTCTAAAGTCTGAGCCCAAGATTAGACACAGATTTCCGTTTGTTTGAACGTGATTTCCTTCCTTTTCAGGGAAACTCAACCCGCCTGTTCCCCCTTCCCTTCACGGCAAGGAACAGGAGGCACCCTACTCAGTGGAGACCCCCTACGGCTATCGCCTGGACCTAGACTTCCTCAAATATGTCAATGATATTGAGAAAGGAAATACGATTAAGAAGGTGTCCATCCAGCGGCGGCCACGGTACGGCTCTTTGCCTCGTGGTTATGGCTACACAGGCTCATGGTGGACCTCCACTGAGTCTCTGTGCTCCAACACCAGTATGGACAGTCGGCACTCCTCCTTCTCCTACTGTGCCCCAGGTTACCACACCACCCAGAGGAGCGGCTTCAACACCGCCCGTGTGGAGAAGACCCTCATGGATGCTCGTAAGAGGCTGGAGGAGGAGAAAGAGAGCCGCAGGTTCTCCAACCTGGGCAGCATGAACAGCAGCGTGGTCGGCTCCAACAGCTCCATCAGCAGCGCACACAGTTTTAACAGAGCACACGGGGCTGGGGGGTCCTTTACCCCTATGAGCTCAGGTCTGTCCACCCCTGTGACCCCCACCCCAGCCCATCTGCAGCATGTGAGGGAGCAGATGGCTGCAGCCCTCCGGAAGATCAGGGAACTGGAGGAGCAGGTCAAGACCATCCCAGTGCTGCAGGTCAAGATCTCTGTGCTGCAGGAGGAGAAACGGCAGCTCAGCGTTCAGCTTAAGAGTCAGAAGTTCTTGGGTCACACGCTGAGCTTTGGCCGAGGCCGTCCCAGAGGAGAGCTCTACATTGACATCCCAGAGGAAGATGTTAGTGCAGGGACGAAAAGCAGCAGTCAGGCGGCCACGCAGCTGTCTCCCACCTCTCCAGAAGCCTCCAAACAGGACTCCGGCTGCGAGATCGAGGACACAGTCATTGTTGGTGGAGCACGGCCAAATGCGAAAAGGGAACTGCGTACTATCGGAGTGGGACCAGAGGGCGAGGGGGGGAGAAGGCAGGTCGGGGTTGGGGTTCGTGAGGAGGATCTGGGGCTTGTTCCAGAGACTCAGGCCTTAAAGTCTCAGGTGGGACAGCTGGAGGGACAGTTGAAGAGGACATTACAAGAGCTGCAGGCTGCACATACACTTGCAGAGCAGGCTCAGAGACTTCCTCTTGCAGAGCATCCTGTCATTGCCACCAGCACTGGCTGGCAGCAGCCACTCAAGGGCAGTCTTCACACTTTGGTGAGCTTCACACAGCATCCTCAGCAGAAAGAACAGAGGACTGTGGGAATCCAAGTCTACACCATGGAGCAGCCCACTGTGGTGGAGGTAGCCACACTGCTCCGAGCAAAATCCTGCACCTCTCCATCTGTTTCACCAGAGTCAGAGGTCCAGCACCGGCAAGCTGAAGGTTTGTCACTATTGGTTTGGTTAATCTGCTTTCAGTTAAAGGAGATCATTTGTGAGAGCTCTAATGTCACAGTAGACATAGTTGTAGTAGTAGTAAAATTACATGCAATAAAAGCTGAAAAGGGAACATGAGCTGGGATTTGGCCATTTCTAGACAGGTTAGTTTTACCCTACGGATGATGTGTTGCAATAGTAATCCTAAACTAAATTACAAAATTTTAAAAGAAAAATGTATGCAAGAAAACTATAATACGTCATTCATTCCTGTGCAACACAGGTCTCCACAATACTTAGGGCGATTTGGAACTATGGACCTATCTGTTTGTGGCGACCCATCACACTTAATATGTTACTCTATTATTGACAGCATGCACATACTACTATATACGTACTTTCTTATTTCCACATTTAAGATTTACAGTATGCCATATATAGTTGCAGTAGTTTGTGTTGGATGGTCTGTAAGAATTCTGCTGTGCCCTCAGGTCCTGTTGAGTTGCCGCTCGCTGTCAGCTCAGTCCAGGTACGAGACGTGTTGAAGAGCGAGCTGTCCACATCAGTGCCTGTGGCCGTTCCGATCATCGCTGTGGGGGCATCAGTGAATCAGAGCAGCACGACAAACATAAGAGAACGTGAGGTCCAAGCAATTTCAACGGCAGAAGTCCAGCCAGCTGAGAACATCTCAAAGACAGGTACTGCATCATGGCTTCATGTCTTTTATTCAATTTGCAATATATGTTTAATCATTGTGACTCATTCTCTTGCAGATTTGTCCCCTAATTCCTCTCTAAGGTCTATTATGAAAAGGAAAGCAGAGGGAAAACCAGGTTCTCCTTTCAAGAAAAACCTACAGTTCATAGGAGTAAATGGAGGGTATGTAGATATAATACAGATTACAGTGTACAACTTTAATGTATATCTTTGTGAATACAACCATTGTGTCTGTGTATGTTTGTTTTTAATTCAGCTACGAATCTACGTCATCCGAAGACAGCAGTAGTGAGAGCTCGGATGAGGAGAGCGACTCCAGTGAATACCACGAAGCAAGAGAAAAACTGCCAGAGTCAACAAACTCACACCAGCAGATAAAGCACACAGTACCTCAACAACCAGCCACAGATCTACCAGCTGTTTGTCCAGAGCAACCAGCACTCAGTCAGTCTCCGAACGTGGACACTAAACCGCCAGAAGAAGTCGTCCATTCACCAGCACCAGAGACTTTAGAAGAAACAAGCGAACCACTGCCACCTCCGCCACCTCCCTGCACGCTCATTTGTGACTCTGAAGAAGTCGTCAGCCAATCAGAGCAAGAGCTAGCCACGCAAGCAATAGCCACTGGATCATCAGAAACCACTACATCGGAACAAGAATCTATGAACACTTCACAACCTGAACAGCCATGTGTCGCTGAAGCCACGCCGACGACGCCTTTAAATGTCCACTCGGAAAGAGCCGTCCAGTCAGACCAAGCCAAAAGCCATTCTAGTCCATCCAAGTCAGAAGCAGATGGGGATACAAGAAAGACCAATACACCACCAGCGAAACCCCCCAGGTACACCAAACATGTAGACAAACTAATTTATATACAGGTGAAACTCGAATACTTATAATATTATTCAAAAGTCTATTTAATTCTGTAATTTAACTTAGAGTGTGAAACTAATATATGACAGACTTTTTACATGCAAAGTGAGATATATCAAATCTTTATTGGCTATGATGCTGATTACTGGTTCACAGCTTGTAAAAACCCCAACTAAAACATTTTAATTCTGTCCAATTAAGTAAAGTTTATTTAGATAGCACATTTCACAGACCAAGATGCCAAAGCCGCTTCACAATTAAAAACATGCAGAGAAAAATAGTACAATTACAAGTAGGGGTGTGACGATATATCGATTTTTCAATATATCGCGATACTTTCTCCCGCGATTCGATTATTGATATGCATTTGCCAAGTATCGATATCGATTTAGATTTTTTTTTTTTTTTTTTTACAAAAAAAATAAAAAATGGTATCAATACTTAATATATGGCTACATTACGCATCTCCATTCCATTTATCATGAAATAAAGTGTATGTTTTATTTTATTTATGCCATAAATTGGCATATTGTATATTTCTGACCAATATATCAATAATCGTCATATCGTGATAAAATCGTTATCGTGATATTGTTATCGTGAGCTTTGTATTGTGTATTGTATCGTATCGTGAGGTACCCTTAGGTTTCCACCCCTACTTACAAGTTAGTTCAAAGACCGAATGGCCACGAAACCACACTTCAGCTGGGCTTCAGATGTATGAATGAAATAATATATTAGGTTCAAATTACAAGTTGATTTACAGAGATACATTTGTTGAATGTTATTCCAATTTTCTGAGTTTCATCTGTACACTAAAGTACCATACCATACCATACCAGCTTTATTTATAAAGCACTTTAAAAACTTTACAGTTCAGCCAAGGTGCTGTACACAAAAACAAACACATAGACTAAAAAATACATACATAAAACAAAACAATATTACCTAAAATCAGACATTACATTTTTACTCTTTTTAAGGTTTAAGGTTTTAACTGCTCTCAAGTTCTCTTCTCTTATTAATACAGTGTTTTATAATAACATTGCTGGACATGCCATGCATTCGCACATTTAACTTGGCCATAGATACAGATAAGCTTCACACCTCCAAATCTCAAAGTAGACCTTGAACACTTTCTAAAAATACCTGTCTGTTTGCGCCTGAGTGCAATAGTCCCAATATCAAAAGGAATCATGAAATATATGTGACTAAATCCTTTCCTAGGGACAATATAAACAAATATATATTTTTCAGTTATTTGCTGCACATAAACGCCATGATATACTGTTATTATGGCGGATAATCAAGATTCAAGAATGTATTTGCAATTTGCAGTAAAACCACTTTGGAAAAACTGTCGGACAGCACAGTGAAATAGCTTGATAGTAATTACGATGATAAGAGTATTTCAAAAGCCTGACTTAGTTAGGATTTCTTGTGTCTTCCATCAGACTGGAGTTGAGCGACAGCCTCATGCCAGCCTTGAATACCCTGCAGAAAGCCTTAGGGGAACCAAATGCTTTCAACCAACCAGAAACCGTACGTATCATGAGTTCCAAAAAATGTTTAACGTAGCTTGCGACGTTAAAAGCGATGTTGTTTTGTGTTCCCCAGCGAGCAGCATACACCGCCGTGCTGCAGGAGTGGCTGCGTGTGTCCTGTCACAAAGCCGCAGAGCCTCTCGTGGTCAAAGGCTACGTGGACATTTTCGCCTCAGTGTCCCCTCAGCTGCTGGAGTTTGTCATCAACATGGCCGACGGCAACGGAAACACTGCCCTCCACTACACCGTCTCCCACTCCAACTTCCCCATCGTGAAACTGCTGCTGGACACAGGTTACTTTGGATTCAACTTTACTCATAAACACATCTAAACTGTTTTCACATCCGCCAACCACTCTCTATATTGTGGCTTGCTGTTACAATCATCATTTCTTGCACAAGTTATCCAATGTGGTTATACTGCATATGGCAAATAAATTCTTGAATCTTGAGCAATACATAATTTCACAGTTGGATTGGGATGGAAAACTTTACATTCTGTTTGGGGAATATAATTTTTTCATGTATTAACCTTGCATCAAGATAGAATTGAGGGTTCATAATGGGATTCTCCAAACTGAAGCTTGGGAGCTTTAGATTTAGTAATTACTTTAACTCATTGATTATTCCAAACTGTATGATTCAAATGCCCACAACAATTATAAATTACCATCCATTATTAACATTGTAGTAAATGATAATTAATGACTATGGGTAGTAGTAACAGTAACACTATTTTGCCCCGGGCGCTTAAGAAGAGAAACTGTTTGCAATTTTTTTCGGCAGAGAAAAATTGATAAGGGCTGGAATCTCTTGGTTTATGTTCCAATGAACTTCTATTGATTTTGTATTGTCCAAGTAACTTTTTAGTACTTTCTCACACACATCACGGCGTGAGAGAGCCCTTAAACCTTTATAAGAGATAAATGACTTCTAAGATCAATAGCAGAAACAAATACAAGGAAAAAAAAAAATTGCGGGCTGCCAGGTCATTGTATAGAAAATGTCCTTGATTCAGGAGCGCATGAAGTAATTATAGTTTTGCGCCTAAAGGTTTTTTTTTAGTTTCTGCTTCCACTATGCTTCCACTGGCACGGTGGCTGAGTGGATAGCACTCTCGCCTCTCAGCAAGAAGGTCCTGGGTTCGAATCCCGGTCGGACCAGGGCCTTTCTGAGTGGAGTTTGCATGTTCTCCCCGTGTCTGCGTAGGTTTCCTCCGGGTACTCCGGTTTCCCCTACCACTAAAAATATGTCCAATAGTTCTAGCATGTGCCTCCTGTACTGGCCCCGCTCCCATCTCTGTGTGGAGTGAGAGACAAATGCCCATAATTAACAATTGTAAACCGCTTTGAGACTCAGATCTGCAGTGAAAAGGCGGTATATAAATAAATACTTACTTACTTACTATTGTTATTAGAAGGATTTCAACCTGGATGAAGTGATTGGTGGTCAAAATCTTTAAGTTGTATCTTCCACATGTATTTTGCACGCTCTGTGGTCCATCTACTGTTATTGTTTGTGATTGTTTACTGCACTCATCCTTATGACATGGTTATTATTGCTGTCTCTCCTGCCACACTGAATGTCCTGGTTCACTCTGCAGGTCTGTGTAACGCTGACAAGCAGAACAAGGCGGGCTACACGGCCATCATGCTCACAGCTCTGGCTGCTTTTCACTCCGACAGTGACCTTCAGACTGTGCTGCAGCTGCTACGCACTGGGGACGTCAACGCAAAGGCCAGCCAGGTACGCCCTCTACTGCTGCAATGTGGCATCACAATCTGAATTCACTGGAGAAAGAGAGTTCAGCAGTTACAGGTGTTCACAGTGTGGAACCAAAACATTCTGAAATTTGCAAGATGGTGGTATAATGTGTCCCTCCGAGATCTAATTAAAAGCATGTATTCCACCATTATTTATAGTGTCCCTCCAAGATCTGGTATAAGAATAAGCATCCAGCAATTTTTGGAGAGTAGAATTAAAGGAACATTTTATATGATCATAGAAATAGCTATCATCAAATTGATGTTAGCGATGGCAACATTAAACAGCTTTGAAGTTATCCCCCTTATATTAATCTATTGACAGTATGAATATTCTATATGTTTAGTTTATTCTTTATAAAACCGAGGCAATGGATAAACCATTAGTCTTTACAAAAGAAGATTTAGCTGTAGCTACTTTACATCTGTTGTCCCTGGGTAGGTGAACACACATCGAAATACACATCACAAATATAAGATTTTCCGAAAGATTAAATGTTTTATATATGTATACACATATTATATAAGAGGAAACAAGATGTAATATTATGTCACTATTTTGAATAAGAAACATAATGGGAAATACAATTTTGGAAGTTATCTCCTAATCTCCTACATAATAACTTGATGGTTATGTACATCATCAACAGTTTCTACCCTTTTGAAATCAATGTTGCTAAATGTGATGTGTTTTTCCGCAGGCTGGTCAGACGGCGCTCATGCTTGCGGTCAGTCACGGTCGCGGGGATATGGTGAGGGCACTACTCTCGTGTGGGGCTCAGGTAAATATTCGAGATGACGATGGCTCCACGGCACTGATGTGCGCCTGTGAACACGGCCACGTGGATATTGTCCGCCAGCTTCTGTCTGTGCCGGGCTGCGACGCCACTCTCACCGATAACGTGAGTTCTCAGCTCATTTGTCTGTGTGACATATTCAAACTTATGGTGTTTTGCTTTGGCAGGATGGCAGCACTGCTCTGTCCATCGCCTTAGAGGCCAGTCAGAACGACATTGCTGTTCTTCTGTACGCTCACCTCAACTTTGCAAAGCCTCCGTCTCCTGTAAGTGTTCACTCAGGCAAACTATTTGAATATAAATTGAAAAAAAGGACTTGTCTCTACTTGGAGCAGTAGAGAAATGACTTGTAAGTGTTAGTATGGTTCAACATCCTAAAGTGTAACTTGGCTCATTTATAAGAAAGGCAAAGAAATCTTCAATGTTGTGATATGAGAAATACAGAAGCAAATTAGGGGTTTCCTATAATAAATTTGCTTATATATACACAATCCTATGTTTTTTTCAAAGAAATTGTGCTACAATTGAATACATTTTAAGTTGATGTTTGAATTGCAAAGAACCAAAATTAGATTAATACTAAAAATAAATTCCCTTGTGACGAGCCCTTGGAAAGTCAGACCGCATTACTTCAGCATAACTTTCCCATTTGAATTTCCGTTCATTTACATTTTTTATTCCAAAGCGAGAAGTCGTAACTTCATAGTTTCCCGAGATCAAATGAACATATTCTTAGAATAGATATTTGCATCAGCTGTTGGCAAGGCATTCAATAAAAGGACACGTCTCTTTCTCTACTTCTGAAGGAGCCTCACGTGCAGAATTAGTATATGTCTGTGTTTTTTTATCTTTATATTTTCTTTGTGAGACTTCAAAACCCAATTATATATATAATTGCAATATATTATATATATTGCAGAGTTGTAATTTGTGCTGAATGGCTGCGTCACATTGAGACAATAAATTTAACCTTGTTGTTATTTTGTTCCTTTCCCCATGCAGGTTTCTCCCAAGTCTCCTCTTCTGGGCTCATCGCCTCCTTCAAGTGACTTAAAGTAAACCTCATCTCTGTCCGATCTCCACTGACCGCTCATAACTTGCTTTTATAGTCTTTCCCCTGTTTAACGTCTGCTCATCTACACACCAGCTTCACTTTATATTTTGAAATAGTGTGCTCCCGTTTGAAGTCTATAACAGTTTGTGGAAATGTAACTTTGCAATAACAATTTTGTTTCTAGCACTGTTTAAACAGCACTTAAAGCCAAACTCCTTTACTGAAATCAAGTGCAAATGTATGAAGTACTTTTTTTTAAATCATTACATATGTTTTATTCTGAGCGTCATCCTAGCCTGGCCTTAGCTATCCATTAACTTCGGTCAATTATTATTTCCCTACATGTACAAAATGAAATGCGTATGATGGTATGCTAAGACCAGGCTAGCGTCCTCCATCAATTTGGAAGAAACATCAGTAAGTGTCCTTGCATCAAATATCTTGGTGCTACACAAGTTCAATATTACTAAAACCAGTTTTAGATTTATTCAAGATTATTTTTCTATTGTTTTTTAATACAATCTAACATAGTACTTTTTCACTGCTCACTTATAATAAGGGGCTGACATAAGAAGCCCACATTTACCCTCCAACTGAAAACATGGTACGTTACAACTTTATACATGAAGGCCTTTTCCATGATGTCGGAAGGATTCTTTGACTGTAAGATTTTGTATGTTAAAATGTTTAGAATGTAAAAAGAGAATGATGAATACAAAAGATACTGGAAAGATTTCACAGGGATTCAGAAGGTCTCTCGACGGGATTTGTAAGATATAAAATGTAAAAAATAATATATGCCTATGTTTAGAGTCCAATTTTTTGAAGTAATGTGCAAAGGCTATTGATGAAATTGAAGTTGTATCCTTTTATTTTCCTTTTTTACAAACAGGTCACAATTTTCTTATCCTTCAGTTAATGAAATGTTACTTTTTTATTTAAATAGTATCTTTTTCTACATTTATAATTTTCCAAAATGTACTTGTAATCGCTTCAATTTGTAAGAAAGCGTGTGTAGGATTATGTGTTTCAATGTTCTAATGTGTGCTTTTTGGATATTAATCACTATAAAATGTACCTCTAATTGTGGACCATATTGCCTTTTTCTTGTGTAGAAATCCTTTTTAGTTATAACTCACTAAAGCAGGCATGTCAAAAATAAGCCCCCGAAGTGGTAGTTTTATGATCTTCAATTCTGACTATTAACTTACAGCATTGATCGAGTTTAATACGGCTGCCAAGACATGTCACACATCATGTTTAAGCTAATTCTCGCCAACATTTAGGTCAAATGTTTATCTTTTACTACTGTATCTGCAATACAGTGGTTACAATAATAACTAATAAGCTTTTATCTGTGGGTAGCGCTTTTACTTGTGAACCAGGGTTGTTTCAGTCCAAACAAAACTGAACTCATTTTGTTCATAAATACCTGACAGAAATGAATACAATAACATGCAGAAGATTAGCTTCAAACATACTCTCCAAGAATCAAAATGCAGGACTGCAAATAAAAAAGTTATTTGATTAAATAAAGCCAAATTCAGAATAATAAAAAGGTACACAAATCCAAACTAAACATAGGAAAAAGGCAACAATGGCACACAGGCGTGACTCAGGGAGATGGAAGAATCCGCCTTAACATCCTCAGCCTCCAGGACGGAAGACATGACGGGGGGATTGAGAAGAATCTCAAAGTATTCCTTCCAGACCTGGCTCCAAGGTGGGGGCCTGGCTGTGTCATAGCGGGCGACGTCACGGTTCTTCTTGTGCTATACATGGTGGGTTTTGGACTGCGCTTTGTCTGACTTGTCACCCAAGACTTGCAATGGAAGGCCCAAGCAGGGGCACAAAGCCCCAGACAACATACTGTAGCTCCCAGCATCATCCGAGTACTCAAATTCCCCCACCACGTTAAGGTGGCAGACCCCCTGGACAAAACACACCATTATGCTTAATTATATTCATAATTTGCTAATGTTTTTACAAATGTTGTTCCAGTTAGACCATATTTTAAAATAAGATAGTCCTTTATTCGTCCCACATCTGGGAACTTTCAAAACACTTTTTAATGTTACAGCCTTATGGCTTTAGTTTCACATTACGACAAATGGAAAGTGCTGCCTTACTAACTCGATGACACTCAACTATTGTGAACTTCCACACTTACCCCGAAGGGGACTGTGGATGGATATTTGAATCATTTTAAATGGACAAAACAAGGATCGCCCTTTCAGCCTTACGGATGTTCGAGGCCACATGTCAAGTGTCACATTATATTTTTTGTTGCGGTATTGCTACCACTGTTTTTTTTCTTTCAAGAACATTTTCAGAAAGAACATTAGAAAGGACATTTGTATGTTTCTGGATGCTCTTGTTTCATGATCTATAACAGCATTGTTGCATACACTTTTGACATAAATAGATAGCTATAGCACCATTCTCAAAAAATGAAAGACTATTCTAATCAGTGACTTTGCAAATAACACCATCTGTCATGTCCATGCAGCTCACCCTCAGGGCTTATCTTTTGCATGTTGGTCCACCCAAACACTGCCTTTGATAAGGCTTGGGTCTGTTGTGGAAGTAAAAATAGAGTAAGATCACTCTAAAATCAATCTAATTTATTTGTGAGACACACAAATATAATTGTTAAACTAAAAATGTTCTCTACCCCCCCATCTTATTTTCATAACATACTGGTGTGATAGAGTATGCACTAAACATGATGTCAAGAGGCCATGCTTTCAGTCAGTGATAACTTTTGTATGGGAATGACAAAATATACAAATATTATGTCATCATACAGGACGGTCTAATTCACAAACGATTGTTAGGAAAGCTGAAATGTAATATATAATGTAAGGTGCTTCTATTTGCTATTGGTCAATGCTTCCTCATTTGCTTTGACATTGCATGATAAGGCAGATGGGTGTGTCTCAGTCGTGAGAGTATAAAATGCCCCATGACACCAGCAACAGAAACAGTTGTCTACTGTCAAAACCGTCAACATGACCAGTCTCAACCCCAAGGACAAAGCCGCAGTGAAGACCTTTTGGGCTTTGGCCCAAGGCCACAGTGAGGACATTGGCAGGGATGCTCTGAGCAGGTAAGTAACAAATGGATCTGAACTGAATTCTACAGGGCCTAAATGTACTGGATATGTTTTAGGCTGATTGCTGTGTACCCACAAACCAAGACCTACTTTGCTCACTGGAAGGATGTCAGCCCAAACTCTGCTAACGTCGCCAAACACGGTGTCACCATCATGACCGCTGTTTCAGACGCTGTCACCAAAATCGATGACTTAAAGGCTGGACTCCTGCAGCTTAGTGAGCTGCATGCCTTCACTCTGCGTGTGGACCCAGCTAACTTCAAGGTAAACTCTTAGCATTTCAAGAGAACTTCAGAATTGTGTTGTAATTCTTACCTAATTGTGTTTTAATTCTTACCTAATTGCAATGTCCATGTGTGCAGCTCCTGGCCCACTGCATCAATGTGGTTCTTGCCATCAAGTTCCCTGAGGATTTCACTGCTGAGATTCACATGGCTTTTGACAAGTTCCTGGCTGCACTGGCTCTGGCTCTGTCTGAGAAGTACAGATAAACTGAAGCACCTAAAACCAACTGCTGCAATAAAGTCAAATTCTAGAACATAAAAACTGTTGTTTTTTTGGTTTGTTTGTGAAGTTACCTTTTTCTATTTCTGGGGGGGAAAAGCTATTTGTGAGCAGAGCCTGTTATGTAGGCTTTGTATGCTGTCATTACTGTGTCATAAACGTACTCGGTAAACCCAGGCTAGGGGCTTTTCTCGTACTTCCTGGACTATTCTTTTGAGGTCAACCTTAAGGAGCTGTGAGGGGAACGAAGCTGAAGCTGAAAGTTTAAACCACATATAGCACATAACGGCACACCGATAAGAATATTTAAGACTTACATCCGCTCCCACAGCTTTTGCTACACCCTCTCCCACAGCCTCTGCCAGTCTGCCACAGTCTCTCCCACAGCCTCTGCCAGTCTGCCACAGTCTCTCCCACAGCCTCTGCCAGTCTGCCAGTCTCTCCCACAGCCTCTGCCAGTCTGCCACAGTCTCTCCCACAGCCTCTGCCAGTCTGCCACAGTCTCTCTCACAGCCTCTGCCGAAGTCTCTGCCACAGTCTATGCCACAGCCTCTCCCACAGCCCCTGCCACAGTACCTCTGCCACATTAAATACACATAGCATTCCACTAAATCCTGTGATTTAGTAGGTGGAAACGGGAGCAAATTTGAAATTGTCTTTTTTTGTTTTAAAAAAAAAACAAGATTTACAGCTGCTGTAAATGCTCACAATTCTGACACTAACTTCAGATGACACGTGTTTTGATGATGTGGAGCTATTATGAGCCCAGTCATTGATACAACAGAAGCTGAGACGTGAGTCAAAAATAAAAAATGGAATGTTTCCATTTTCAACTCAAATTTTTGGACTTTCGGTTCTTCAGGGGGTGTGACTGTGAAACTTAATTTTTTATGTTGTGGCTTTACAACTAACGAGATCATGGTTTTCTTTCTCCCAAAGAAAATGCAAATTCACTTTTATAGAAGGTGTTGTAAAAAAAATAAAATTAATGTTTGCACGAATTGATGCGTTCATCAAGGGAGGCGTTTAGGAGGCATCCAGAACAGATGCCCTAGCCACCTCAACTGGCTCCTCTTGACGTGGAGAAGCAGCAGTTCTATTCCGAGCTCCTCCAGTGCACTTTATGAATGTTATTTGTAAAGCGCTTTTCATACAAGAAATGCAACACAAAGTGCTTTACAGTTTGGTTGAAAACAATCCCACATGCGCACACACAAAATCACATCAAATTAGTAAAATAGATGCAACAAAGAAAAGATATGAGGCCATAGGTGCCAGAGTTTTTTAAAAATAAATAGAATATATAAAATAATATAATAAATAATTAAAACTAATCAAAAGCTAATCTAAAAAGGTGTGTCTTGAGCCTGATTTAAAAAAAACATTGCTGGCTAAAAACTTTGGCAACCCCTGGTTCTATGCAAATGGTGATAAAAGCATGCATCAGCTCTCTAAGGGGCGACCAGCCAATCTGTGGAGAAAACAAATTTTGACCACTTGTATCCCCGAACTCATTCTTACAGTCGTTACCCGAAGCTTGTGAGGGAGGGAACGTAGATCGACCGGTCAACACTCACTATAACATTCACACACAGCTCTGACAGCACACGCTGCTCCCTCTTCACAACCACTGTGATGCATCAACCCCATTTCACTGCACCGATCCATCTGTCGATCTCACGCCCCATCCTTCCTCCACTTGTAATCAAGACCCCGAGATAGACAAGGCAAGTTTATTTGTATAGCACAATTCATTGACAAAGCAACTCAAAGTGCTGCACATTATAGAAACAATCACACAAGGCATTACAATAATAAATAATCACAGTATAAACAAAAAAGAGTAAAGATAAAATCCCTCAGTTTAGATACTCCTCTACTTGAGAAAGGACCTCTCCAACCACCTGGAGAGGTTAAGGCAAATTTTTTGGCGGTCGAGAACCATGGCCTCAGATTTGGAGGTGCTTATCTTCATCCCAGCCCCTTCACACTCTGCTGCAAACCCTGCAGTGCATCTTTGAGGTCCTGGTTTGTTGAAGCCAACAGGAAAATATCATCCAACCCAGTTGGGCAAAAAAACAAAATCAGTTTTTAGCTAAGACTTCGCTGGTTCACAAAACAAATCTAATACAAACACAATGTACAGATAGCTGTCGGTGCCATAGAATGAGCCTGCCTTTCTATTCCTAGAAATGTAAAGAAATGTCATTCTCTCCCCATGGTTCCAAATATTCAATGTTTTTGTATTGCAACAATGAGTGTTGTGAGCCAGAAAAAGAGTAATCGTTGTTTGTAATGGTCGTTAAGGTCATATAAAAACATTGTCTATATTTTTGGAATGCACATACACTGGTAGATTTTATAGTTATGTTACATTTCTGTCATGATGCTCTCTGAATAAAATCAAAGAATGACGCTGATTATGTGAAATAATTGAATCCAAGCAGTACTTAACTCTGAATACTTTGTTGGATTATATTCCATTAAGTGGAACCCTTACTCCGCTATGTACATTCAGTAGTACAATACAGTATACTACCACAGATGGTATAAGACAGACAAAACGAAACACACACACAGGCCCAAACACTGCTCTGGCCCTACACCTCTCTCCCACTACACGCTCTGTGTTTGAGGCCTTACTCTCTGTCTCCTATATCTTCTTCAGTACTTTTAAGCAGTTTTTTTTTTTTGCGTTGAATCCATCCATTCATCCATCCATCCATCCATTTTCTTCCGCTTCATCCGCTGCCAGGTAGGGGGGCAGCAGTCTAAGCAGAGACGCCCAGATTCCCTTTCCACACACACTTCCTCCAGCTCATCCAAAGGGACCCCAAGGCGTTCCTAGGCCAGCTGAGAGACATAGTCCCTCCAGCGAGTCCTGGGTCGTCCCTGGGGCCTCCTCCCGGTGGGACGTGCCCAGAACACCTCCCTAGGGAGGCGTCCAAGAGGCATCCGGAACAGATGCCCAAGCCACCTCAACTGGTTCGAATGATGGACATTTGACACAATCCTTATGGCCTTTTCTGTAAGGTAACTCAAGACTTTAAGTGAGATTCATAACAGTTTTCCCAGACTTCAACACAATAGTTTAGATATAACATGAATGAACGATACAATAAAAGTAGAGCATTGGTGTTCCATCAGTGGCTTGTTCTCCTCATCCTTCCAACAAACTTAGCAACTTGAGATTTCCCAGAAATATTTACATCCACTATAACTTGGACTTTTCTATTGGAGTGTCCTCAGCGAGAATATACTGTGCTATATGTGGACCAGTGCTATTTTACAGTTTTTTTTGTTTATTTGATTTGTGTAAATTTTCATTCTTATTTTTGTTGTTTCTGTCCAGGACCTAAGTGTGTGTTTGTGGTTTTAGAAAAAATAACTAAAAGTCCAACAGGACACACTGGCCCATGGAGCTAAAAGTGTAGATTGAGTTGGACTAACAGAAGAAATACAAGAACACTTCAACATCTGCCATGATGTGATTACCAAGGCTGAGGATTATAATCAAGATACGTGGCAGGTACATGCTGGTAATAATTGGTGAAAATCTATTTTATGAGATGCCGGTATTATAAAAATATCAACAAGACAGCTTCTAAAAACAAATCTAAATTTGCAGTCTGTGACAATTCCATTTTTACACACAGTAATTGTGTTTCTTATTCATTGTCTGTTGCTTTGACTTCTCTTGATAAGGCAGATGGGTGTGCCTCAGAGAGAGTATAAAATGTCCCTTGTCTCCAGCGTCACCAGCAACAGAAACAGCTGTCTACTGTGAAGATGACCAGCCTCAGCCCCAAGGACAAAGCCACCGTGAAGGCCTTCTGGAACCAGGTCCAGGGCTACACGGACGACATTGGCAGGGATGCTCTGAGCAGGTAAGTAACAAATGGATCTGAACTGAATTCTACAGGGCCTAAATGTACTGGATATGTTTTAGGCTGATTGCTGTGTACCCACAAACCAAGACCTACTTTGCTCACTGGAAGGATGTCAGCCCAAACTCTGCTAACGTCGCCAAACACGGTGTCACCATCATGGCCGCTGTTTCAGACGCTGTCACCAAAATTGATGACTTAAAGGCTGGACTCCTGCAGCTTAGTGAGCTGCATGCCTTCACTCTGCGTGTGGACCCAGCTAACTTCAAGGTAAACTCTTAGCATTTCAAGAGAACTTTTGAATTGTGTTTTAAATCTTACCTAATTGCAATGTCCATGTGTGCAGCTCCTGGCCCACTGCATCAATGTGGTTCTTGCCATCAAGTTCCCTGAGAATTTCACCGCTGAGGTTCACATGGCTTTTGACAAGTTCCTGGCTGCACTGGCTCTGGCTCTGTCTGAGAAGTACAGATAAACTGTAGCACCTAAAACCAACTGCTGCAATAAAGTCAAATTCCAAAAGATGAACATTTTCTTTTTTTGTTTTAAGTTGGTCAAATGGTCTATTTTTGTTAGAAAACATAGTATATTTTGCATACTTGTACGAAAGGTCAGAGCTGAGAGCTGATGGCTGAGTGAAGGTGGTTCTCTTTCACTTTTCTGTCTGAAAAAGCTGATCTAAAGATGTGGCGGGCTAAGCATCAACAGTTCACATGCATGTATAGTTTGCAGTAAAAAAATAAAATATGTTTTGTTTTTTGTTATAGGTAGGTTTTTTATGATAATAGCAACTGTGACGCTCCCGTGTTTGCCTGAAATGAATAAATAAATCAAATTAATTGTGTTGGAACCACACCTGTTTCACAGCACATTATTAACTGCTATACTAAGCAATAATTTAGAATTTCAAAATGGTGTACTTAGACCAACCTAAGCTTTCAGATGAGGCTTTCGCATGGTACAATAGAGTAGATCCTTTCATTTATTATTTTTTGAGGATTCATTTCCTAATCTTTTGGGTAATCAACATTACCCGAATGGGTTGAAGTGTTTATGAAAAATCAATATGTTTAATCTCTCCAACCAGTGTGCAGTAACTCATCAAATCATTGTATTTGTGCGTTATTGTGGCCCACAATTACTTATCGTCCATACAAACCTTTTTTCCCTCATTCCCTCCCGTCAAAAATATCAGATGGGACATTGCCTCCCGTTACCAGCCAAAAGTGTGAAATCATAGACTTTGAAAGCAGATTTGGATGTTTAAAGGTGTTCTGTGTACGATACCCTTTAAGATAATAGATAAAAGATAATTCCTTTTGTCAATGAGCTTCATATATTTGCGGGGTATTGAGTACAAACAGCTGAAAAATCTAACCATCTACACAGAGCAGATTAGCATTTATCTTCACATGTGCAGCTACATTAGAATTCTTGAACATGAGTCACACAACAGAGGAGGACAGTGGTTAGACAAAAGTTTCAGGCATCAGTAGCCAGCGCTAAACAAGGACTGGGCCAGATTTGAACTATAGGACTGAACCATTATTCATACTAGTTCTTCAAAATATATCAAATCAGGTTAAAACATGCAAATGTTCTAACTCATTTGTGGGCCGTTTTGTTGCTACAAGCATTTATCTCATCTTCAAAATACAGAATATTGCTCTGTGAGAAACTGGGTGTGTCCATTCTCTGCACTGCTGAGACAGACAACAGCAGTCAAACATGACAAGCCTGAGAAGGACAAGACTGGGTGCCAGCCTTCTGGGCTAAGTGCCAATCATAAATTGAGGCCAGGTAACTACTACAAGCATAAATAGAAAATGTCTTTGTAGGGATTTTTCTGTACGTCGGCGCTTTAAATTGGTTATTGCATGTTTTAACAGGTTGATTGTGTACCCCCAGATCAAGAGTTACTTCAGTCACTGGAATGACATCAGCCACTACTCAGGCTTTGCATCCCTATTATAAAGTGAAGATTGGATTTATTTATTTTTTACTCTGACCCGGTTAGTTAGTGCCTCTTAATGCTAAACTTGTCTTTAACATGTTTTGCCTAACTGCATAATGGTGGTTTTGACTATTCAATGATTTCACCCAAGAGTTCACCCAAGAGGTCTTTGAGAAGTCTCCATCTACTTAAAACAGTGAGTGTTTGTAATGAATCCAAGAATTTTAAAAACATTTTAAAATCTGTTTATTTTTTATTCATAACAAAAATTTATAGGTGAAGATTCACAACACGGGGGGTCAACTATGTCAGCAACCAGCAGGTATAGATTTCTATCATCACTCATTTGTAGAGGGATAAACAACTGTTTTTGAGTCCCGCAGAAATTTTAAATGCATTTTGTGAATTCTTAAGTTCAGCTGTCATTCAATCATTACTTTTGCCTAAAGTAATTGCCTGAGTAAACAGCTGATAAAATAAAAAGCTAATAGTAAAAGAGAATCAAACCTTTTAGTGAAACCGTCTGTGATGTCATCCCAGACTGTTGTCATCCAAAGCCACTGGCCTTATTGTATTTGGTCACAAAACAAGTGGCTAGCTAAAAAATTAAAATATGGCGTTGAAGCTATAAAGTTAATTAGTGTTAGGTAGCTAGGCTAGTTAGCTAACTAGATATTAGGATGATTGGATTACGTTGGAAATCATCATCCAACTATGTGTACAATACTGCCATCTAGGGCCACCATGTTATATTCTTCAACAACAACAAGCTAATTTCATTATAAAGTGAACAATGTTTCAAAATATTGAACGTTTATGTTTGACGCTAAATTTGAACATTTTTTTTTGGAAATTCAAATAAACTTTATCAACACATGTCCACCGTAACAACCCTGGTGGCAACCCTGTCACCATGACAACGGCAGAGTTTACAAACTAAAGTTAAAGTCAAAGTGAACATAGACATGAGTTACATACTGTGCAGATGGCTGAATGAGGATCTGCGTATCTCGCAGCTTGTTGGTAAGAGATTTATTGAAAAAAAAAAAGTAGACGCTTCTGTCTTGGCTCACTCCGTAACTAGCTAACGCACCTGAACTTATTAGAAAATAACTGTAAGCTAGGCCTCACTATAATATGTGCTATCTTGTTATCCATTATCAATCAGACAAGTAGCGTTAGCTAAGTTAATATTTTAAGTTAAAAACAGATCAGTGAAATACGAATGATGTAGCCTTGGTGACAAAACGCTTGAGTGAGATTTGATTGTAATATTGATTTTAGGTTTCTTTATTGTTGTTGAAGGAATAATAAATAAATAAATGGCTCCCCAGAAATATCATTTGTCTGATGATTAGTATTGGTAATAATAATATTAATAATATAAAGATAATAATGCATTTGATTTATTTTGTGCTTTTCGGATATGCTTCACATGGCATAATTAATTCACTCACCCTGCTCTGCGGCACCTGGTGTTCCTAAATGTCTTACATCACAGCACTATCCAGGCCCAGTCATACATAGCTTGATAGGTGTGACAGAATCTGGCTTTCACACAGTGGTAGCTCATTTTAAATTGTTTCAGTAGGATATGTGTACTAGAAGCTGGTAATTTTAGGCACATGACACCTGAAAGGACATTAGAATTTTAATACATTTATTTGAGCAGGGACACCGCACAATGCACTTTATTATTTTAAAAAGAAAATATGATAATTATAATAATAGTAACAATACATTTTATTTATATGGCACCTTTGGCACTCAAGGTTGCCTTACAAAGGGTATACAGCATACAGTTGAAAATGGACAGTGAAATGTAGGGTCATAGTGAATAGGCTAGTCTGAATAGGTGTGTTTTAAGTGCAGTTTGGAAGAGTGTGTCTGCTTTTAGCAAAAATGCTTTTTTCCTTCCAGTTTCAGTCCTTGTATCTGAACACTGCTCATGGACAACATATATTTTAGGGGAAGCAGGTGAAGTAAATGACAAGGCCACCAAAATACAAAACTATCTGCATCTTACTTAGTCTCATATCTATCAATTACCTTATTCTACAGTTATGTTTCTGTTTTAACTTAAAACAGAGCCAAAAACATTTGCCAGGAATTTTGCCACCGGATACCTCATTGGAGAAATTCTGCATAAATATCACCTCCAAAATGACTTGAATCTATTTCACAAAGATGAGTAAGTGCAGTGTTCAAATTACCATGAAAACAATGTAAAAAGCACATGTTAAGCTACATTGACAGACGCTAACATTGTCAGTCTGTTGTGTTGAAAGCCGCAAGTCTTCAAAGGCAAACAACTTCAGCCTCCTCAAGCCAACCTTACAGATGATTGGGGTGACACTGGATGATACCACTGCCAGGGAGTTGATGGAGGGGAAGCAGGATGTTACCTTGAATTTCATCTATGAGCTTTACGATGCACTGGAGAAGAAAAAGAAAGGTCTCATTGGAGGTTCAGTAACAGACATGTATCCAAATTCTATATCTGAACGTTTACGCAGGAAAGAACAAATTCTGTATTCGAAGGTAAGTGTGGTTCATACTTTTATGACACTTGGCATAAGAGCAAAAATATATTCTGCTTTTCATTTTTTGGACAGAAGCTGCACAGAGGATTTGACAACAGTCCTGATCCAATACCTCAACTTATTCAGGACAAACATCAACTAAATATAAAACCCATCCCAGGCATTGCTAACATGAAACGAAGCATACATGCAGTAATGAAATTGTTGTTTTTATAATTTTATTTGTTGAATACTGTATTACTGCTGCATCTAATCAGAGTTTGTGTGAATCAGGCAAATACTCTTCAAGCAGCCAAGGCTCAAGAAAAGCAACAAGAGAAACAAAGACGAAGAGAAAAACAGGCACTGGTACGACTATAGTTGATAAATATAGAGATACCAAACTGATGGATTTTTATGTCCCCCCAGATTCTCCAAAATTATAGAGATAAGTTTGAAGAAAACACCAAGATATTAACGTCTTCTTACCCAAGGTTTGTTACAGTATGTTATTGCTAGTAGCATTTGAAAATACAAATCCACTGGGAGATTTAAGGTATGTTTTCGTCTTTGTAGTGACATTCTCTTAAAGGAAACAGGGAGTGAAGCTGATTATATAAAGGACATTGAGGCAAAGCAGCACTTCAACTCTGAATACATTGGGCAAATTCGACGAAGATTAAGAGAGGACACATTCACTCAAAAACAGCGGGGGCACAGAGCTTCTCAGTTTCTTCTGGAGCTGTCAAAAGCCCGAAAAGATCAGCAGGTGTTGTACTATCCTTGTAGCCAAACACACATATGCATTTCTATATAGTCATTTGTTCTTCCCTGGTGGTGTTTTCACCCAGGACGCACAGATTGAGGAGTCTCTGGTGAGCCGTTTCACCCGACAGATGAAAACAGAAAAACTCTTGGTGATGCAACTCCTCCAGAATCGCTCTCAGAAGGAAGAGCAAGTGAAAAATAATTTAGTTCGACAGCAGCAGTTTCAACAGCAGAGAGAGAAAGACTTTCGAGAGGCACTGGAAAGAGAAGCGGTATGTGAAGCCAAAAATTATGTTATAGGGACTGCAGCATATCATTAGCATTATTCATATACTCTCTACTCCATTAATCTACTTGTTCCAATTCAGGCCCGAGTCCATGAGGAAAAACTAACCAATGCGGGAAAAAAACAGATGGAGTTGGATTTACATAATAAACTTATTTCTGCACAAAAACAGAAGAAATACATGAAACACTTTAATGTCTGCAAAGATATAATGTTGCAGATAGTGGATTTGGCCTCCAAGGCTGGGGATTACCGGCAAGATACTGGCAGGTACATTCACCATCTTATATCCTTCATCCTTTCATTTCATTGTGCTGTTGCATTACATAGGCTTCCCACGATACCAAATGTTGTGATATTTAGCTTATAAAAACTGTCTTACCCCCTAATGCAGTTCTTGGGGTTTGTGTTATATGTAAATCCATAAAACATCAAAATGATTGCTTAGTTGCGTGTTTGTGCCACCTGTTATTTTTGTGATCACTGAAACGCCACACTACTTATTATGTCTCTGGTTTATTTTTTGGTTACATCATTCTCAGGCTCATTCCAGAGAAACAGATGAAAAAGTGGAAGGAGTTCTTGTTTTGTGGCCTTCCTCTTTATGAGTCTGTTCATATGCAGCTAGATCCAGAGCAGCTTCTGTTGCAGGACCTACAGAGCAACTTGGACTACGAGGATTATGAGGTGTGCATCTCTCGCAGCACATTTAAAGAACATTTTAAGATTTCAAATGATGCAGTTTTCTGATCTCTCTCCAGAATATGGCTGGCGAATGGTCATGGCCAGAAGAAGCACAACAAATGGAGATGCTAGCAGCCAACACCAACATTCTTTCTCATGTCATTTCGCTTTTGAGGACCATTATGCAGCCACGTCCTGCTTTTCCTCACTTTGTCCTGAAGGCATGTGTCCTGGGAAAGCCCTGCTCGGGAAAGACCACCTGTTTAGATAAGATTGCACAAGGTAAATCACATTTTTAAACACTGAATATCAGATAATGCATTAATTGCTATCCACAGAACATGGTTTCTACGTTTTATCTCCTGACAAACTGATCGAGGATGTGCTCAACGCATATCACAGCAAAGAGGTCAGAACAGGTTTTAATACTTTTTTGATTGTATCTACTGACATTAACATCACCTTTTTTTAAAGAATTATGATCAACTGTCAGATCCTCCCACAACAGATGGTAAAACAGAAATAATCCTTCTCACTCTCATGCTTCTCTAATGCTATTACTGTGACTTATTTCTATTATTACTAATTTTAGATCAACATTGTACCGAGCAAGTTACAGACACAAAGGTGCTGATATAATATACTTTTTAAATATCCCAAAATGTTGAATCTGTGTTCATTTATTCTTTAACATTTATTTCCAGTTCACCAAATTGACCTTGCTTGGCGAAGCTGCAAACATATTGATAAAGGAGGAGAAAACGATTTCCAATGAACCTATGGTGGAAATTATAACAGAGGCAATCAGGTAGACTCAAGGCATAAAATGACTCAATTATATAAAATAGTTACTTATCTAATTTAATTTATAGACAACTTCCGGCTAACTCTTGCTGGATCCTGGATGGATTTCCAGTGGACCTCTCCCAGGCACAATGTCTCGAGAAAGCCCTGGGAGGATTTGTCGAAGAAGTGGAGCAAGTTAGTGACAATGACGCCCAATCCCCTCGTGCTTTGGCTCCAGCTCTGGACTTGGCTTTAATTCTAGACGTTTCAGACGAATGTGTTGTGTCACGAGCAGCAAAACAAACTGGTATGTACAGTACAAGTGTCGCTTACACAAAACACCACTCTTACCCACAAGCTGGAGTACCGAACTTTGAAGCTTCTAAAAATTAACTCTGTAATGAAAAATCCATGAAACTACCGTGGTTCTGAGTTATCAAAAGTGTTTGGTTCTATCACTGGTTTTCAGATGCATGTATTTTTGGCCTCTGTCACATCTACAGTTTGGCTTTTTCAGTGATAAAGAGAGTACAACCCTCAATCAGCTCTAAGTGTGTAAAGTAAAACTTGTTTTCTAGTAAGATAACGACAGCATGTGGTGGTCTAAATTTTTAAAAGTTCTTCTAAGCAGACAGTGTAAAGAAATGCTTGACATGTTTCAGCGGTAGACTTCTGCCTTCATCAGAGGGGACACATGATAGCACATGTCTCTTATCAGCCGTTGTTACCGGATGTGGTCAGTCTGACAGATTGGGTAAATCCATCAGACTGACCACACCCTGATCTACCCATGTCATGCACTTAAGCAGTACTGTCTTCTTTACATTCTTGTTTTATTAGAATAAAACTTTAAGCCTTACATATATAAAGAACAAGTCCTGAATTTTCAAAATGTATGTTATGGTCTGATTTGTTCACAAAATGTTTAAAAAAAATAAAAACATTTATTTAAAAAAAATAAACAAAAATAAACAAAAACACAAAGTCAGGTAGTCCAGCTTTAATCAACTTAATATGACCGTCTCTCCCACTTTCTTGCCAGATGGAAATATGTCCGCTGAGATTTCAAGCAGGTAAAGTAAAAACAAAAGAGAAGTTTGTCTTATTTCTTTTCCATCTATTTTATCTGAAGTCACTATTCATCCATAAAAGAATCACAGCATTCAATGAGACATGGCCACATCTGGAAGGATGGTTTGGTGGAAAACAGAACATTTTGGTCCATTTGAATGGAGAAGTTTATGAAGAAGAGCTTTTCAAAGAAGTACAGTTCATCATGCAACAACATAAGCGACAAGCAGAAGGTAACTTTAGAATAATTAAATTTTATTCCATATCAATTGACACAATACTTGTAGATGCTTTAATGTAGCACTGGAAGAATATTTACCTTGATAATATTTTTGGCCCTAATGGAGCTTTTTGTGTTTTTTTACAAGCGTCTTCTGAATCATCCTTTATCCATGACCTCTTCCCGTCTTTTGGCAATGAACCGCTTCCAGCTGTGAGAAATATTCAGTTTATATTCAATAATGAAACTGAATTCTTTAGTTCACGTAGTGGACTCACATCTGGCCTTCCTTATAGGGCCTGGCAGCCTCTCTCTGTCTCCACTGGGATGCAGTTTGTGAATTATATGTGGATAAAGTGAAGGCAGCACTTCAAGAGCTAAGGTTACAAAGTGCTTCTATTGAACAACACTTGTTAAATCTGAGGTATAAAAAAGCAGTATTACTCTTCATAGTGATTTTTACCATTCTATCACTCATCCAGTGCCTGATTTTGCTTTCACAGAGATGATTTCAAATCATATGTGAATCGTACAGACCCCAAAAAAGATATGATTTCAACATGGCAGAATAACTACAACAAAATATGTTCTATGGGGCAAGACAAATCCAAACTTGAGCAGAGACTTGATGTGAGACTTGTTGTTGCAATGTAAAATGCAAAATACCAAAAGTGGTTTTAACAATGACGTTATCGAAACAGAGCTTGCTGGAAGATTTATGGCTCATCAGTGACAAACGCAGAGAGGAAAATGAGCAGAAGCTGGCACGTGTAATGCGAGATGAAATGTGGCTGGTGCAGGCCACAAATGCCCTGCTGCAACACCACTCAACACTCATGCAGGTAGATTATAAAGTTTATTATTATTATTATTATTTTAATGGTTGTGTTTGGAGGTGTAATACTGTATATCTGTTCTCCGCATTCTGAAGGTTGAAGTCGATCGATTTCAGGAGACCCTGGAATTTCTGTGGTTGTGCGAACAGACCTCGCCCGACAATGATCTTAATGAAAGGTAAACAATAAACAATTACTTATGCATTTGATTTGTATACACTGTTCTACTTATTTATTTCTACTATTTATTTCTTCCTTCAAGCATAATATCTAACATAGAAGTATGTAAAGGTACTCAGCCAGTAAAGGTAATATGCATTTGTATCCTTCTGAAGAATTCTTAAAAATGCGTGCCTACCCCAGCTTGAATAAAAATATGTAAAAGTGTGTAATAATGTTGTATATTTATCTTGTATTTTAGATGTCATTGCATGGAAATATAATCTGTGATGCTCAAGAGGCACACACAGCCATCAGCAGTTTGGTAATGCACTATCCTGTTACAGAAAGATAGAGAATTGTTGTAACTTGTTTTCCTAGAACATGAATTTGTTGTGTTTAGGTACTTAGTATATCCCAACAGTTTACTGTAAGAGAAGAGATCAATCCATGTAGTCATAACATTGGCAAGTACACTGTAGAACACTGGTAAACATTCATTCATTTGAAACATAAAGATAATTAAATGTATTATTGTTTCTTTAGACCCAAACCATGATCCAGACGTATCTGAAACCATGAGCAATGGATATTTAACTGCACTACACCAAGAAGGTAAGACGTGTATGAATGTATTATGTTTCCTCCATCTTCATGTGTCTAATTTGTTTTCGGTTTTATTCTAGAAAGTGCAACTAAGGCACGCATAGCTCACATAAAAGCTCATGGTTTGAAAATGGTGGATTATCTCCAGATCAAATCAGATCAAATGAACAACATCATGGAGGAGTTGATGAATGAGCAGTTTATGGCAGAAATGAACAGGTGTGTTAATGTGGGGTTTATGTATGCTTGTTTAAGAACTACTAAAGAACATTTGTACCATTTTTACAGTATTGAACAAGTGGCAGAAGTAGCGCGGCATCATATGGAGTCCGATCTGCTCCAGGATGGCCTTGACCTGGTACGTGGTTCCTGCTGATAACTGTCAAACCTTTATTATATTATATAGAATAGTACATTACATTGTGTTTTTTTATACAGGTCTCTATTTATTCTCCTCACTCTATGAACGACACATCTGCACTTGCACCTGTTTTGCCCTAAAGGAAAATCAAACATATAAAATTGTGCACAAAATTTTGAGTATTTTTGTATCCATAGGTCAAAAAGTTGAGCTCCATTTTTACTAAACACTATCATACAAAACTGTGAGTCTTCTTGAGAACGCTGCCCAATGCAATGTCAGTACCCTGAATTAATCACAAAATTGCATAATTAAAGTCAATTTGTTCCATCTAATTTTGCATTCTCTATATTCATATTATTCTCTTATATTTATGCATTAATGTATTTTTTAAAAACATAATCAAGGCACACAAACATAAAAAAATACACACCCATGTCCAGGACAGAACCTAACTACTGTATGTCCAGGACTAAAATGATAAATATGACAATCTGTGTAAAAAGAAAAAAACAGGAATTTAAAAAGTAGCTTTAAGGTGATAAATGGTGCAGTTCCATAATACTGACACACAATCATTAACTTATTAACACCTTATAATTTACTGTGGAGAGTTCCAAATCAATAATGATCCACTGTTGAGGAGACAGAATGTAAGTGGGGTTCCATCTAGAAGCCACTACCTTTTTTGCTGCTGTAGACCCCGCAAAGAGAACCCTCTGTTTTGCTCTGTCGAGTCTGAGCCGAGAGAAGTCATTCAGAAGGAGAACCAGGGGAGAGGAGGGGACTAGGCATGACAGATGGACAGATAAATTACCGGCCACCATATGCCAAAACTGAAGCAACCCTAAACTCCCAGACCATGAGGAAAAGGGTCCCAGTAACGCCCCTTGACCTTATACAAAGTGAATGTTGGGTCTAGCTTACTCTTCATGAAGAAAAGTTCTAAGTAAAAAGGGTTAGTGTTGTACCTGTTGGTGATCCAGGCTCAGACAGCAGTGTCCCAGTCAAAGTCCACAGGTAGATTTGGAATGGCTATAAAAGCAGCGATACACATTCCCCCCAAATTCTTACAAAATTAAATCCTAAAAAAATAAAGCAAAACATGAGATCAGAGAAACATATTTTGAAATATATACAAAAATAAAGATTTGCAATGATGTAAATAATGGGTGAAAATGGAAGTGACTAAATGATCTGAGGATTGATGCCTTTCTGCAGAATCAAACTATGTGTGAATTCCAAGGGGGTTATCTAGGGCACTCTCTCAGCCTGACGTCTTTCTGTGGTCTGATTTTGGTGTAATCTGGGTGTGGTTAAACATGCGCGTCATCACTCACAACTTACATTTTCTTTACGTCATAACAAAACAAAACTTGTAAATGAGTAATTGATTGATTGATTGTTTTTTTTCATATTGTGTTTTTTTCCCTTCTATTCAACCTGGAGAATCTGATCTCCTTTCTAAGAGGCCGTCTCAATACAACCCCTGAAACATTTCTGTTTTATCTATCCTTCCATTTTCTTCCCCTTAATCCATTTCTGGGTCGTGGGGGCACCAGCTCCTCACTGATCCTCCTGCAGGTGGTGAGTCCACACGCTGCTCTGTCGGTGAGAGCATAGCCTTGTAGTGACCTGTACCGGACCTGTCCACGTTCAGCGGCCGCTGGTCCACGTTCTGTAGCTTAGGTCCTGGATCTATAGCCCGTCCGTCCGTGGGAGCGGATCCCTTTCTCAAACTATGGGTCTCCCAGAGGTTTCTCACTTTTTCCCACTGGGTTTTCTTATGAGTTTTTCCTTGCCGATGCAGGAGGGTCTGTTGGGCAGTTAGTGTCCAACTAGAAGGACTGTAGGGGGTGATCCAGGACACTTTAACATTCTACAACATGTGCAGACATTTTTCAACATGTGTTTTATATTCTTTATCTGTTTTAACTGTTGATTCTCTGATCTGTGTTGGTGATTTCAATGGTTTTGTTAAGTCCTCTGAGATGACTTCTGTTGTGATTTAGGCCTATACAAGAATACATTTTATTGTATTGTATTGTATTGTATTGTACCAACTGAACCACTGTCGCCCATTGTTTTAGTGTTGTGCATTTATTAGTACAACACATAACATTTCTTCCTCAAATACATTTATTTATTTTATAAAAAAGAAAAAAAAGAAGGATATTTGGAATATCCTGTATCTGTTTGAATTTCAAAATGCATCAATGCATTCCTGATAAAAGTATTTAGTTATTTACTCAAAAGAATAACCACTTTATCAGTTGAAAAGTAAAATAATAATTGCACAAGTATATTGAATATGGTGCATGGGAAATGGCATTGTCAAATGCAACCAATGCGTGTATTATGTGGATAAATACTGTATGAAATGATTTCGCTGAGAGCTGGTAGGTGGGTTGTATCGGGGGGCTGGGCTCTTCAGTTGATGTTTATATTTCCATAGTTTGACGTCAAGTAAGGTATGGTAAAGACTTTATCTCACTGCAGACTTTGGAGCTCCTCCAAATGCCACAGTGTATCTCGTCAGTGTGACAGGGTGTGCCCGGCCTCCTGACTGGTATAAAAATCCCCCATCTCAGACCACATCTCACACCAAATTCACTAGCATTTCTTCAAGATGAGTCTCAATGACAAGGATAAGGCTACGGTCAAGAGTTTCTGGGCTAAGGCCGCGGGCAAGGTTGATGACCTTGGTGCTGATGCCCTGACCAGGTACAGTACTTACCTTTATACATGCGCTGTTCTTCATCAAGTTAAATTATGTTTAATTCTGTGTGTTTTTTTACCAGGATGTTTACAGTCTACCCCCAGACAAAGACCTACTTTGCTCATTGGAAGGATGTAGGCCCAAACTCCCCTCAGGTGTTAAAGCACGGGAAGGTTGTGATGGCAGGAGTGGCTGAAGCCGTGGACAAAATGGACGATCTAACCGGAGGTCTGCTGACCCTGAGTGAGCTGCACGCCTTCACTCTACGTGTGGACCCCAGCAACTTCAAGGTGCGCCTACATCACACTCACATTCTCTCCTTTTACTCTGTAAAAGTATAAAGGCACTTTTTGAAGTACTCAGTGAATACTGCCCTCTTTATAGTAGGAAACACCATTCTGTCACTGCGAGAGCTAAAAGAAAAGATTGTTGTGATAGTTGATGTTTATAACACATTTTTTTTCTAATATTGTTATATTAGCTCCATTTCTTATTGTTATATCATTATTGCGTAGTCAAAGTGATGCTCATGCAGAAAAAGACAAAGAAGAAACAAAGTCCTCTATTCATAATTACTGATGTGACATGATCAAACAACTTTGTTCCTCTCTAAGGTGCCATATAAATAAAAACATTACTGTTAAAGTATTAATTGCATAAACACTTTACATGTAAGTATATAAAATATAAAATGACAATGTTCACACGTGACTTTACTGTTGCAGATCCTGGCCCACTGCATCATGGTTGTCTTCGCTCTCAGCTTCCCTAATGACTTCACCCCCGAGGTCCATGTGTCGATGGACAAGTTCATCCAGGCTGTGGCCAGGGCCCTGTCTGAGAAGTACCGATGAACTGAGGAGTGCTGCAGATGTGAATTTCTGTCAGTTTAAATGCCATCAACAAAAAATAAACAAGCTTATACTTTATTTATTTTGTCTTTTATTGATGGGAGGTCTGTTTGTATATCCTAATAACATTTCATAACAAGTGTTGAGTCTAGGGCCTAAAAAAACATTAACTTATTTTCTACAAAATACAATTGAAAGACTCATCAAAACCATCTCTTTTTTGGGCACATAAAATGATTCATGTTATTGTTACTAGACTATTAGCAGTCTGCCATCGGGTTTCCAAATGAGCCGAAGTTCAGACCATAGTAATTCTCACAATAGCTATAGATTTAGAAGACATAATTATGTTTATTTATTATTTTCTTTAACTGTAGAAGTATTCCTCTGTTCATTTATCTATTTATTGCGGAACTTCTGGATAACTACGTTGTTCCTATCGGACATCTTTCACTGTGACTCACAACATGCAGCGTTTTGTCCCTGGACTGCTGAATACGCCTCAAAGTTGAGGAAACGCGGAAATATCAAGACTTTTTAAAAGACTTTTCAAGAATATACTGTAAAAAGGAACATTTTATTTTTAGATACAAATAGCCCTTTATCGTGCTATATTCGTGGAGTAAATAACTAAATAATGCTAATATGATGTACAACCCGCAAGCAGAAAGGAAATCCATGTATAGTCAGCCACAAAGTAATGAGTGTATAAGTAGCGACAAAACCAGTCCTATTAGTGTCATCTTGGTCAGCTCTGGCAGCCGTGGGCATAAACTACTTTTTCGTTATCCTTTTCAAAGAGTTTCTGACAGTCCGTCGTCTTTGACAGGTAAACATGTTAATCCAACATAAGTAGCAGTAAAATCAGTGTGCAGTCATTTCAAATGAAAAATAATTCTCATGATGGTTTTGTCAGCAAAGCAGAGAAGTCCATATGCTCTGAACACATCTGGAGAAGGACCAGAGGACCAGGATGGAGATTCCAGGTACTATATAGATACGTACTCCTAACATAACGGTGTTATAAATACTGTGGATTATAGATAACATACTTCATAAAAGTGCAATTTTTGTGTTCGGTCTTATTGCTTGAGTTCCAGCCTTCACTCAGCCAATCAGCTCTCAGTATGCAAAAGATCAAATATTTATGATAAGATAAAGACTAGAGCTGTACGATTAATTGCAATCAAATCATTTTTATTTTTTATTTTTGAGGTAAATCGCAGAGACTGCAATCCTCTTTTTTTGCAGTCTCTTTAGAAACATAAAAAACTCTTAAAATATGTAAAATTGCATTTGTGCATATTTTGAAGGTTTGTCAATGGAATGGAAGCACGTATCATTTGCCTTGTTGTCAGGCAGAAGCATTGTTATTTATCATTTTCATCATTAAATTAAGCCCAAAATGTGTTGCACAACCAATATTTGACAATATAAAAAGCCTGCATACTGTATTAATATTTTAGAATGTTGCAGAGATATCTTATATATCTACTGATAAATTATTGTACTATAGGTTAGAACATTTTTCCTATGTGTGTGGGAATTGTATATGAAGTAATCGCTTCATATGTTCACTTTTTCAAATGTCACTCTTGATCTTATTGTTTTTCATTGAAACAATGCAAAGTCTCTTCAATGTGTATTTATAAAAAAACTAAAGGCGCATCATTTTGAACAATATCTCAATACACACTCATCACCAACTTAAACAGCTCTTTGGCAAAACAATATATGAGAAAAGCTTGCTGCAGGCAGAGTTGCTTAATGTCCACATGCTGCTTTCAGCCCAAGTGTGTGTTGCATTTCCCTATTGTTTGCTTTCTTCTGTTTTATGGCCCAATTCCCATTTCAGAGAACACTCTTCACTAACTGACGAACAGTTGGTAGCAGGGTAAGACCGAATCATTCAAACCACCTTTCCTCTGCTTAGAACACCCCTTTGATCCCTTTCTTTTCCTCCGTTGTGTCCTTAAAGAACCCCAACCCTGATCTCAGAAGCCCTTGCCTCTAGAAGAATGATTATTTGCCTAATTTTACTTTCACCTTTCCTTTGTACTTTGAATTTCAGCTATGTTTTTATTATTATTGAATAAACATGAGTAAAAACATCTTAATTGCACGGTAAGTAAATAGATGAATCTGGAAATGAGCATCTTGATTTGATCCCTCTGATTGAAGCATGAGTTACTTGAGCAACATTGGCATGTTCTTTCACAATCTTCATGTGGCAGAATCTATTTCTGCAAAGTGGACGATCTGTCTTTCTCCCAGAAAAGCTCCTGTAAACATACTCTGAGCTGGAGCGCCATGCCTCTGATCATAAACACATAATACTACCAGAAACCAAACAGAAACCCTTTGATAATGTCTTATTACTCTTTAATGTCTCTGTAACCGTTTGTGATTCCGTTTTATATTTTTAGATTCTCTGACATCATTCTCGCTACTATCCTGGCCACCAAATCTGACATGTGTGGAAAGAAGTTTGAGCTGAAAATCGACAATGTCCACTTTGTGGGCCACCCCACTCTCCTTCAGCACCCTTCCATCGTCCAGGTAGATAAGGAATCAAGCCTCACCATATCAAACACTTCTTCTTCTCTCCTCCTGGTGGACAAATCTACACACTTCAGTCATTCCATTTTTTCTTTTGGGTTAATCCTCATTTAGAGCTAATATACACATAATGAAGACTTGATTTAGACCCAGACGAGACTTGTTTGAGTTTAGAAATCAAGGTACTCCTCAGGCCAACTCTTTTTTTCTGTGCTGCATTGTTTGTAGATGATTACAATAATGAATGTTCTTATGTGTGACACACAAGTGAACTTAAAACAAATGATGATCTTCCATACTTTTACAGTTTTATTTTTTTTAGTTTATGTAATCTCAGTGCAATCTCTCAGTTGTACAGGAATTTGTCAAAGCAAAGGCAGGTTTCTCACCCATCATCTGTACTTTTTAGCTAGTACCCATCAAATAAAGATGATGGGTGAGAAACATTTCTTTCCTTTACAGTTTTAAGTTGTTTCATCAACAATGCAGATGTTTAAAACACAAGATAAGAACCTTTATTCATCCCACAGTGGGGAAATGTCAGTGTTGCATTGTACATCACAGAATGAATATAGAGCACACACACACACACACACAGATATAAAATAAATTACTTTAAATGCGTCTTTAGCTTTAGCTGTGAAAATGTTCTATAAACATTGATACAGTAAATAACCTGATGATACAGACATCATTATATTAGTAACTAGGTGAAAACATTTCCATTTCAATGCTTATTGCAATTATAATATAATAATAATGGGACACTTGTCATTCCTTTTTGTTGCAGGGCTCTAAAGCTGATCCTTCTCCTAAACGAGAAATGCCAACAATGATCCTGTTTAATGTGGTGTTTGCTCTAAGGGTATGTATTTCTTGTTAACATTATGATAAATAGAGGTGGAGTTTGTTTGGTGGGGTCAGAAAAGGCCTCCTGAATATGCAGCAGCTGTTTGTGGGTGGGATGTAGACCACAGTAGATGGAATCTGAAAGGAGGAGCAGTGTTAGGGGACGATAAGGCTCTATCTGCGTCAAGGGGCCCCATCATGTGTTGTAGGCACGGCCCCTGCTGAGTCACTGCTACTCCAACACATGACTGGGGGGTCGAGGGGGAAACATGCTGAGTCATGCTTTGTAATGGTTTCTGTTCGAGTGTGTCGCATTCTGTTTATCCCATCTCTCCTTTAAGTCTATGTGGTCTTCCAAATTAAACTGAATAATAACATAAATTATTGTTTAAAAACATTTTGTAAAGCCTTGAATATTTAATATATTTTGTTATACTTGGCCTTTTCAAATTAAACTGTAACTAACAAAGTTGATCAATTGTAGAATGAAAAAGATCAAAAAATGACCAAATGTTTTTTTTTCTTCAGATCATTATTTGATGGTGATATTATTATTATACTATTCTTATTTTGGAAAGACCTTTCTCCCGGCCAACATCATCACCACTTCTAGACAAACTTTGAGAAAATAATAAGTCCATTGTTGACTAAGAAGATGTTAAACTTGGATTGACCCAAGAATGTTCCCACACTATTTAAACTATATATCCTTTGGAATGTTGTGATGTCACATGAACTCAACCTATAGTACAAGACAGTGACATAATAACTTTCTCAAAGTTTGTGGGCGACAATAGCTCAGTTGGCCTTTGAGCCAGAAGGTTGTGGGTTCGAGCTCACCTCAAGTCCTCAAGACTTTCTCCTCCAACTCCCACTGTGTACTGTCGTTGTGTCCTTGGCAAGACACTTAACCTCTGGGAACACCAGGTGCCACGGTGCCACGGCTGCGGCTGTAAAGTGCCAAACTGCCGTTGTGTCCTTAGGCAAGACACTTCACCCCCATTGCCTAGAATGAGTCTGGTGTGTGTAAGAATGGTTGGTGGTGGTCGGAGGGGCCGATGGCACATACTGATTGCCTCGCTTCTGTCAGTGTGCCCCAGGGCAGCTGTGGCTACCGTAGTAGTTTATCACCACCGTGTTTGGAGTGAAAGAATAATGACGTGTGTGAGTGTCCAAAAAGCGCTATATAAAACCGATGCATTATTATCATTATTATTATTGTGTGTATGTGAAATAATGTTGTCTGTTCTGGATGTTGTTATAAAGGCCAACGCTGACCCCACAGTCATCAGCTGTATGCATAACTTGTCCCGACGACTCGCCATCGCCCTGCAGCACGAGGAGCGCCGCTGCCAGTACCTGACCAGAGAGGCCAAACTGATGCTGTCTGTTCAGGACGAAATCACCACCATGACTGAGAGTGAGGCCTTTCACCTGTTACACCTTTATACCCTAAAACACATCGATCTGACTTTTCTGATCCCTCTTTTCCTCATCAGCAGATGGCAGCCCCCAGTCTCCTTTCAGACAAATACTTCCCAAGTGTAAACTGGCAAGAGACCTGACGGAGGCGTATGACAGGTGTGTGAGGATGTGATTGAATGACTTACAATATGATTGTTTATGTTTTTAACAAAAAACTTTTTTTTTTAAGCCTGTGTACAACTGGAGTGGTGCGTCTCCATATCAACAATTGGCTGGAAGTGAGCTTCTGCTTACCCCATAAAATTCATCGAATAGGAGGTTATTACATCCCACCAGAGGCCTTAGAAAGCAGTCTAAAAGCCATAAGGTAATGATATGCTTGTTCATCTATTGTTTACCAGTTATCCATGTTCTGCTTTATCCATTGTCTGGTCAGACAGCAGAGACTTCCTCCATCTCATCTGGGGGAATCTTGAGGCTCAGCTGTCCCTTCAGCATGTCCCTCATGTTATTGTTAATAAATTAATTTAGTTCTACTTCAAAATAAAGAAATGCAGAGTCCTGGTTGGAACTAATGGGACTTAAGCTTGTGACCAAACTATGAAATGTGGATCACACTGCCCTCTAACGTGTTTCAGAGAAACTGCACAACTATGTTTTTAGTTTTAGGTCCTGTTACTGTTTGGTCAATGTTTACAAAATGACACATGCTTTTTTAATGAGTACAGAGAAAAAAAAAACACTAAACATTTGTTACAAGGACTCAAATACATGCTAAATGGACATGTTAATAAAATACTGTGAGGCATTTGTACTTATTTATGCACAACTGTTAACTCATGCATGACTGTTTGTATCTGTGTATTAAGTTATTTTGTGGTTTGGTTTTCAGGCCATATCACACTCTATTGCTGCTGGAGAGTGAGAAAGTGCTGCTGACTCAGCTCCCTCTGGACTGTTCTCCAGCGATGGTCCGTCTCATCAAAACCTGCTCCGCCATGAAAAACCTGCAGCAACTGGCCCAGGACGCAGACCTGGCTCTGCTCCAGGTCACCACTTTACTACAGCCTTTAGAACAGGGGTCTCCAACCTTTTTCAGTCGGAGAGCTACTTTTATAACACAGAAGAGGCAGAAAGCTACTCCTTTTTTGTAGTCGTAATAAAAATGTATGCAATAATGAAGACAAGAGCGAACACACTCGGAGAACACATGTAAATACCATAATTCTGTATAACCTTTTACTTTTATTTATAATAGATAAGTAATGATTCAAAATGTATTTATTCAGGATCTTGTGCTACATTTTTAATCCTTTGGGGAGCTACCTGAAAGGGGCTAGCGAGCTACTGGTAGCTCGTGAGCTATAGGTTGGAGACCCCTGTTTTAGAAGTACATGACTGAAGCTGCGTAACATAGGGCTTCGTGTGACTGCCCCCGTGTGGACAGTCTGTGTCATTACTTCATGTATACAATCTGCTAAATAACATAATACATCATATCAACGTAAGTATTGAACAATTTTCTTCTTTTACCTTTCAGATTTTTCAGATTGCTGCTCACTTGGTTTACTGGGGAAAAGCAATTATCATTTATCCACTATGTGAGAATAATGTCTACATGCTATCTCCTCATGCCAACATCTGTCTGTGAGTATTCTTACTTAAACAGTTTTATATTTTTTCTCTTATTTACACGCAATTTTCTGATGTATAGGTACTCTCCATTGGCGGAGCAGTTTGCGCAGCAGTTTCCTGGCCACGATTTGCCTTCAGTGTTGGCTAAATTCTCACTGCCGATGTCACTGACTGAGTTCAGAAACCCATTAGATGCTCCAGCACAAGAGGTAAGTGTCTTTATGACCACTTCAAACTCCTTCAAAGCTTCATTGTAAATCACAGAAGTATGAAGCGAGCCATCCAATTTTGGAGCCAAAAAGTTGGTCATATATGATTAAAATGAAAGAGACATCAGCTTTTATTTTTCATGAGCCCAAGATCAGCCACGTGCTGTTTTGTTGAGCTATTTTGGGTCCCCATGGCATCCATTTTAGAGTTTACATGGCCCAGCTTAAAGTCAGCAGAGGATAAAACTCTAAAGGAAAGCATAAGCATGTAGTGTTACCTCTTGTAAATCAGATCCCCTCAAAAGAGCTTCTTTCCCACTGCCATTCGCTCCCTCAACCAATCCCTGATGTGGAATGTCCCTATTGTTGTTTATGTGTGTTTGTTTTTGTATGTCTTTGTATATTTCACAGTTGAGCTGAGCATTCCTGCTGTACCAAGAACAAATTCCACCAACTTGTTGTGTGGTCATTAACACATGAATTAAAAACTGATTAATATTTTCCATAATTTCATCCATTATGCAAAGTACAACTGGACCAGGGTTAGAAATGGTCTTTTCTTCTTTGTCAGTTTTATATCATTTTAAGTGTAGCTGTCGTGTTTACACATTAGCTGGTTTGAGAAATGTTCTCTGTATGTTGAAATGTGCTCTCTTGAACAGGTCCAACTGATACAGATGGTTGTGTGGATGCTCCAGCGTCGCCTGCTGATCCAGCTGCACACATACGTCTGCCTGCTGGTTCCTCCCTGTGAAGACGAGCCCAGCCTTAAAGAGGAAGACCCCCTTTTACCAATGCGAGTCGGGGGCCGCAGCCTAAGCACACCCAGCGCCCTCAGCTTTGGATCACCCAGTATGTATCCAACTGTGAATTAGTGTACAGTATATGCATTTGTATCATTGATGATTGCTTTAGACATTATAGAAGCTATTTTTATCTATTAAAGTATAAATCTGTCTCTGCCCAATCCTCCATCCACTTTTCTTCCATTTTATTTGTTTCCGGGTCACAAGGGCAACTGTCTAAGCATAGGTGTCCAGGAAAGATAACTAAGGCCCTGCAACTGGCTCCTGTCGACGTTGTTCAAGGTCTCATTTCAATAGTCATTATAAATTGCAACCACTACTTCTCTACAACAGGACCAACATCAAGACTATTTAACCAGCCATATTGTTTGACGAAAATGAAATACGAGAAGCTTGAATGTAGTTAGGAATATCCTCAGTAGATCTGTTCCTCGTAAAAACCCGTGTTTTCTAACATCTGTGTTGGATTTGTGCAGCGAGCAGTGACGACATGACGCTGACCAGCCCCAGTATGGAGAACTCCAGTGCAGAGCTGCTGACTGAAGGAGACTCCCCTATCAACAAACGCATGACAGAAACTCTGCTGTCCAGTTTATCTGAGCACGAGAGGCAAGTCATCCTCAACATCCCTGCAGCTCAGAATCCAGAGGATCTACGAATGTTTGCCAGGTAAAGTAGAATGTATTTCATACCGTTTAATTCAACAGTGTCAATCTCATTCCAACACACACCTGACAGGACCTACATTATGAAATGAGTGGAGTGTGGTGTGCTTTAGGTTTTAACACCCCTGCTCTCATTACATTAACCTTACTGGTATAATGACATGAATACATATAAAGTGGACTTTGAAATGCCACGCAGATTCACTATATACTCATAATAAAACAATGTTCAACAATAGCTACTTTGCACCTTAAAGAAGCTATACACGATTTGTTATCCCTCTGTGGGATAAGAGCGTAGGGGAAATGAGCGACTTGAGGGGCGGAGCTAAACATTCGAACTTTGCAGAAACGGGTATAGCTCCTTTTAAACTGTGAATTGTCTGGGAACTCACCATTTTATGTTTTGTGTGGTCAGTTTTGTATCTTTCCCCCGGAACAACGGAACAATATATTGTACCTTCTAAAACATTGTTGCAGTGTTTGTTAATATGCACTATACCAAAAAATGATCGCTTAAAGTGCATAATTCAACTTTTTAAGAGAACAATTTTGTATATGTTTTAGCATATTTGATCTGTGTAAAGCAATGCATCTTTACTTTTAATCAGGGTTGTGTCGACAGTGCTCCAGGATCATATGTTTTGGTGATTTTCTGGTGCAATGTGACGTCAGCAGAAAAAAGCCTCCAAACAATTGATCCTATAGCCTTCAAAAAATACCGCTGTGATGGAGAGAAAAGATGCCTTGCTGACCATAATTGTACTATACTTATTGATCTGAAAGAATTATACATGTTCCTTGTATAAACCATAAAAGTTTCAATATTTGTTCTACTTCATACTTACTTTGATGAGTTTTGAAATAGTGATAAAATGCTACACTGCACCTTGTCCCATCTGCGCTGCTTCGTGAGCGGCGGCGACAGCTCTCATCAGCGCCACTGTCCCACGCTTGAGTTACGCAGCTAATGGTTCAGTAAAAACTCGTCTCTCAAGCCATTTTTCTCCAGTGCTTGTCTTTTGCTGGTTTTAGGCTGCTGCACTACTTCAGGGGACATCACCACCTGGAGGAGATCATGTACAATGAAAACATGAGGCGCTCGCAGCTCAAGACGCTGTTCGACAAGTTCCGAAGTGTCCTTGTGGTCACCAACCATGAAGACCCCATTATTTCAATCTTTCAGTCGCCCATGGAGAAATGACCAGAGGACCGTGGTAGCTCCAGCCTTTTTGAGATCGCCAATGTTACCTGACCTTTGTATTAACATGAAGGATTTTGTACTTAGGTGTACATTGTCTTTATGAGCCAAATAATGTTTACACGATTAAATTATTTTGTATATATCAAGTCTCAAGGCTGTGTCATAATTAATTACGTAATTAGGACACATGTAAAGTCATATGCTTTTTGCGTATTTCCTCATTCATTTTTTAAGATGAACATATTATGACATGTATATATTATATTAGTCTATATATTTAAGGTTAAAAATTACACGTAGCAGCAACTTAATCTGGAGGACTCTTGGTTTTAATCAGGAAGTTAAAGACACTTCTTCAGTCATTAAAATATCAAGATTTGCACTTAAAGCAATAGTACCTAACTTTTAGATAAAGTTTTGTGAATAAATTAGACCACCGAAAGCTGTATCTTCTTTACTTTACTGATTGGCTGAATGATGGTGGCTGGTACTAAACTCTTGAGAGCTAGGAACTGGACTTTACTATATAGTTTCTTTTTGTGGTTTCAAAGTTGGCTACTACAGCTTTATCAATGAAAATAAACTACTATAATAGTAAACTACAACTACTAGAAAATAATTACATTTGAAAACAAATCTATAATACATCTTCATTTGACCACATTTGTCGCTATTCCTGATGTTTTTGCACATGAATAATGATCATTCCAGACCTCAAACTACCTCTGTCCAGGAATCCCAGAGGTTCAAGGACCAAGAATAAGCAGAGATGCTCAACATCAGACGAGTTGCATTGGCTTTGTAGGAAGTACAACTTTCCAAGCATCTGTGAAATCACTAAGAAGACACATAATGAGAGTTTCATTAAAAACACAGATGCTCCTTTTCACTGGAGACAGTTTCTTTTCAGGGTTCACTCTGAAAGTATGTCGTTTTCAGAACAAATACATCTTTTGAATAGCTGCAGTATGTCCTCAACATTTCATCTTTTAACAGGTTTAAAAACACATAAATACATAGAATATATTACGTTCACAAAGGCAAGAGTAAAATAAAGAACAACAATTTTGAGCATCATTTTGAGTTTAATTATAAATCAACATCTAAATTTAAATCAGTCTTTATTAACTGAGATTCAACAATTCTTTCCGCCTCTTTATTTCTTACGCTGACACATGGGTGGCCTAAAATGTAATATCGTAGTGGTTTCTTTGCCCAGTCCCCATGTGACTCGATGCCAATTCGTGCTGCTGTCACAATTTTGCTGAAGTCTTGTGGATCAGGGCTGGGGTCCCGCTCCAGCCAAACCTCCGGGTCTGAGGCCAAGTCCCGGCGGTCAAAGCAGCGCGGTATGTCCAGCGCCTGGCACAGCTTTGAGGGCCCATTGCACAGCTCTTTGTCCTTCAGTTGTCTGGCTCCGTCTTTGCGCTTCGCCGCCCTCAGCTGCTTCATGACGGACAGGCCCCGGACCGGCTCCAGGGATCGTAACAGCACCGCGGCGCCCTCCCCTGTGTGGCAATGCACCAGTCAGACACACATCACTGCTGTTTATCTTCACAGCTGCTTTAATAGAGTTTGACTTATGCATCAAATGGGTTTTCAAGGGCAACAATATATGCATACAGTATCTTACAGGCATACTACAACTTTACTACAAATGTAATATTTACAGCTACTAGTTTGTAGAAATCTTCATTTGTTTTTCTTTTGTATGAGAGCTATAAACTAAATGATCTAATAACCAAAGTTCCATCAAGATTATTGGTGATTCCTGGCCTGACTAATACCAGACTAAAATTGGACAATGCTTTATAATAACTGAGTAAAAATCTATCTTTAATTTGGATTTTGGACACAAGTTAATTAAAACAGACAACAAAAAAACATGGACAAACAAACTGTATGGAATCACTAAAGTCTGAATTGAGATATGACTGATGTGAGGTCTGAATAAAAGTTGTCGTAACATTAATTCTGCTGTCTTCTTTAATTGTATTCAGAAAAAAACATTTGTATAGAAAATAAAAACAGTTAATGCCTGCCCTTGTTCTTCCATATGGCCTTTGACCTTTTAAGAGACAGGGTAGCTCCACGTTTGGTCAAGTGCAATTAGAAAGTCTTTAAAGATTTGTTATTTAACCAAACCTGGAGCAACTGTTTTCTTAAAAAGCCATACAAGGCATTTAAAAAAATGCGGGTTCAGACAGTGATTTTTGTTGAATATTACTTATCCATGTGCATTATATATTGTGCAAAACCAAGTCTTTTTGGAGCTCATAGAGACTGCCTTTACCCTCACTGGACACATTCATGCAGAGGTAGATGCCGTAGATGGGATAGACATAGATGGTGCCGGGCTTCATAAACATGGCCGTATTTCTCTCTGTGCGTTTCCCTCCAGCTGAATGGGAGGCTTTATCTTCTCCTCCGAGGTACGCTTCAGTCTCCACAACCTTCCCCCGCAGCTCCACTCCATCTGCACACCTGCGGACCAACACCTACAGGGGTAAACACAAGCTACTGTTTAATGCATCACCTACAGTACAACACCAAGGAACACTGCACTCTCGTAATTCATTATGCATACAATAAAAGTGTTAGATATGAAACCATACTTTGGAAGTTTCAAATTATATAAAATGGTATATCCAGATAGTGAAATCCTAAGTATGTACGTCATCATAAGAAGTAATTATTATTATTACTATTATTATTGTTAACCATCTAATTATCCATTACACTCTTATGAAGCCTGTGAAAAAATAAATATAAGAGAATATCAGCATCACATTCCATTATGGTTGAAATAATTGTTGATTGAACAGAGTTGATTTTCCTAAAATGGATAAACAGTTGAAAATAGAAGCCCATGGAAATGTAAGTCCAAACATAAAACCTACAATGTACCTTCCCAAGGAGCGCCTTTGCTAAACTGATGCATGGTTGCTTAAAAAAATCCTCTCCAAGTCTGAGTTTGGCATCACTTGGGAAAAAATATGGACTCTGTTCTATGTCGTTATTTGTATTCTTTAATTTAGCTGGGCATTCTGCAGATATTTCCTTTGATATCACTCGGGTTTTTCTTTTTCTTCCTGACATATCAGTTTCACAGCGGTAAGAACAAATATGACAGCTAATGCTAACAGGAAGTAAGAAAGCGTTTGTTGTCATTCTCTTAAAGTGACAGCGCACATTTTTCAGCGCCAACATTGAGGAGGGTCAATATATACAGTCTATGGTCGGGCCAGAACCTTTATTTTTATGATTAATTATTTAAACCTTGTTTTCCTAGTTTTGACTTGTCCTTTACTAACCCATTATTTTTCATTGGCATGTTAGATTAATTCAAGACAGGGGATTTGTTGTGTGTCGTAAATATTCCAGGTTGTTTGTCCTAACAGAAACATAAAATGACAAAATAATAATAATAATAAAAAAAAAATTAAGCCACAAAATGCTGTCCTTTGTTTGTATGTAACAACCCTGTGAGTCATTTGGGCAGAGAGTTGACATTTTTCAGAGGATTATATACGCGTAAAGATTAATAATAGAACCAAACAGATGTATTTATTTAATTGCTCGGTACTGTATTTGTTTGTGATCAATAATAAAATTCCACATCACCTGCATTTTTCACCACGGCCAGTTTGGCCCGGGGCACAGAGGATCCATGTGTGTGTATCTGAGGGAAACTCAGTGTGACACGGTCAGGCCACAGGCTGCAGATGTAACTTCATAAAGTATACATTTACTCTGCACCTCTGCAGTTCATAGTCAAGATAGAGTCATTCATCTTTTATCTCTCCTGGTCTATTGCATAAAGTTCAACACCATATTATGACAAACCTAGTAATTCCTTGTTGATCATTCACCACAAAATCTAGCAGCGGCTTAGCTCTTGCATCACATCATCATGACAGGTTCTGACAATACCATTTAAGTATGATCGTTTGAAATAATTCAATAGTAATCTATAAAATGATGACAGTAATTAGCTCTAGTGATTCGTCATAAGGACGATTACCATTGTGACAATACCAACTGTGTCTGCTGTTCAAAATTGGACTTGAGTTGGGAAGGAAGTAAAGTACTTTTTAAATAAGGTCATAGACAATACTGCTTCTGAAAACATTTTGAGTGGGTGAACATAAGGGAAGCAATGAGTAATCAGATTTGATTATCTGCAATAGTTGTAATAGTTATTTGATTGCAGTAGTATATTATGTCGTATTGTATGTCTTAATTTTAGCCCAGTATTTTAAACATAGGCATAATGCATCTTAAGTTCAGGAGACCACCATCCCCTTCCTCCTCTCGAGATGCCAGTGTGCAGTGTTGCAGTGTGAGCTCTGGAGGTGGCAGCTCAGTGTGCGTGATGAGTGGGAGGGGGCCGGGAATGGTATCATATCAGTGGATCAAGGGAAAGAGGATCTAGTTCAGAAGCATATAAAAGTGCCATAAAAATACCTCCTTCATCACTGGTGAATGTACTTTGAAGTGTTACTGCCCTCTAAACGGTGCATTTCTTGATTTTATTGCGATTGGTATTTACGGATCTTTTATACACAAATACGCATCTTGTTTTAGTTTTTGTCAATCCAAGTGAACAACAAATGGGCTGTCTCTCATAATGTATAACATAGTATATATTGCATTCATTAAATGATGCAACTTATCTGATAGTCAGTCACCTGCTTGACTCCATACAGATGTTATTGCTTTACTTTGAATGTACCTCAATATAGTTGTTGACTTAAGTCATACAATAAGTAATCAAGAGTGAATTGAATAAACCTGAATTCTTACGCCAAGTCCTCTTTCCTACGGTGAGATGATTTTCTGCAGATATATGAGCTTTATCTCCTTGTCTTCATAATACATTTGTACATGTGTTTAATACCTGTGGAGCATTCCAGCCAGACAAAAACATTTAGACCCATGCAACTGATGAGCATTCAACCCAAAATGTGGCATGATGCACCTTTAAAGCAAAGACGATAAACAAAGCATCATTGAGAGAAGTATTAATTGGATTTTTAAAATATTAACTATAGCCCCAGGGCGTCACTTTGTAAGAGAAAATGTAAGTATTTCTGCATGTAATAGTAAACGATTTAATGGAAATGAAAAGTATAACAATATCTTTCAAAACTGAGCAGGTTTGAATCTCCACAATCCTGACTTGTACATAGCCGAGTCAGGATTGTTAAGAGATTCTTAAGAGAAACTTGTGATGTACGAAGTGGTAACTATTGTTCCTTTGGCTATAATCTGGTGATGTTACTTTGAGGAACCATCACTCCAGTCTTCTGCAGCTCAGTACAGATCCCACTCAAATCTGCTCCTCGTGTGGAGCGGTCCTGGCATGACTGGTGTTGACTCAGTCCTTGGCTGCGGCTGAAGACTGCTGTTTACTTTGTCTGTTTTTCTATTACAGCAGCATACACCGGCAGCTCTTATTGTTGCTTCCACTGATAATCTTCTTTGCTCTAGCCAAGTGCATTCTGGACCACATTCAAGTCCACACTTCTGCAGAAACACCAGTGCTAAGCAGGGGACAGAGGGACACCAAAGCCCAGTCGTAACAGACAGATGGAGGAACATAACGCCGAGAAAATATCCTCCTCCATAACGAGGAAGACTGCAGCTCTGTGTGGCCCACTAACTTTAATGTTGCTAAAAATAACAAACATTGTAATGTCTTCAATTTCATAACACTGACAAACTAGCGATGCCAAATCCCACTCCCTTTACAGACCCATAAACAAATCAACCAAAATAACATGTTTATGGTTTTGCTTTACATATTTGGATGTATATGTTATAGATACCATTTATTGCACCACATGGAAAAGTGAAAGAACACAATTAGATAGAAGATCCAGCAATAGAATAATACCATTAAACCAAATCATTTACAAAAAGTCCCCAGTGTGCACAAGACAAGTACAAAAAACAAAATTGGTTGAAAGTACAGGAATAAAATTTAAAAGTGCAGGAATCTTGTCCGTGTGAAATCAGTCAACTAAACAGTTTCAATACTAGTGCAAGATCATTCGAGTGCTCTGTTTAAACTGATAACAGCTTGTAGAAAGAGTCTGTCAGCAAAGTGAGATGTCCTGCATCTCAGCGAATAATATCTTCTGCCAGAAGGAAGAAGCTGGAATGTGGCTTTTCCAGGGTGGCTAGAGGAGTTATTATCTTAAAGAGGTCAGTTTAAGAGTCTGGATTCATAAAGAACTTTCTTCTTTCATAAAAATTGAGGAGGTATAAGTCCATTTACATTCGATTTGATAAACTGTAATAAAAGTAAAACACCTTTTTTTTCTTTAACTGGTCCAGAATGTTTGACTGATTCAGCTTTTTTTTTTATCACAAATATGTTTATTATAATTTTCAATTTAAGGACAAAACATATAACACACACATAAGAAAATTAAATAAAGACCCTCCCCCCACCCTCAAACCCACCCTTCACTCAATTGCAACCAAATTATTTTCTACAAATCAAAGTCTTTTACAAGGCGTAGAAAGGGCAACCAAATGTCTTTAAAGTCCTCCAGTTTTCCTTTGGCAATATATGTCCAGCGCCAAGTTACTGGACATGAGTTTAATCCACTGATTCACTCCAGGTTTTTCTGTGTCCTTCCATTTTAAAGCAATGACATATTTCGCCTGCACCAGGCAAAAATTTACAAGTTTCTTGTTCTTTGTATTGCATTTAAAGCTATTTGGAAAAATGTGCAATATACAGAGTTTACCATCTAAGGGCATTTTACATTCAATTAAATCAGAAATTAGTGCACAAATTTGCTTCCAAAAGATTTTAAGTTCTTCGCACTGCCACATACAATGATAAAGTGTCCCCTTTTCTTTACCACATTTGACACAATCATCTGGTATATTAGGGTTGAAATGATGGAGTTTCACTGGTGTGATGTAGGTTCTAAATAACCACTTGTACTGTACTAATCGGAATCTTGTGTTGATAGTTTGTTTTTGTGCAAGAATACAGGAGTTATTCCACTCTTCAACTGAAATGTCTGTTTCCATATCAGATCTCCAGGCTTGTAAATATGAAAGACTGCTTTCTTTTGAGGCTGCAATTAAAATATTATAAAATTTGGAAAGTAAGCCCCCACTGTGATGATGGTTAACAGCCATATTCTCTATAGTGGACAGTGGGGGCTGGACAGTCGACTTCAATAAATTAGTAACAAAACTTCTGACCTGAAGGTACTTAAAAAAATGTTTCTTAGGCAAGTCGTATTTGTTTGTCAACTGTTCAAAAGACATTAGAACTCCATCATTGTACAAATCCCCTAGTTTACACACACCTTTATTCATCCACATTTTGAAGCCCATATCCGCACGTCCAGGTTTAAATGTAACATTGCCCCAAATGGGTGACAGAGTTGAAAGCTTAGACTCCTCATTCAAAGCAACATGTGCCAGGTGCCAGATCGAAACAGTGTTTCTGACAATTGGATTTTTTGTGTTTTTTAGCAGCTGTTTAATTTCAGCTGAGTAAATATAGGATTTTAATGGCAATTCTATTGTGTTGTTTTCAATTTGTATCCAAGAAGGAATATCCTTACGTGAAAAATACGAAGTAGCGGCACATAATTGAGCTGCCCAGTAGTACAGCTTCATGTTAGGCAGTCTAAGCCCCCCTCGGTCGAAAGGTAAATATAGAAGAGAAAGCCGTAACCTGGGCCGTTTATTATTCCATATGAATTTGGTAAAGTTTTTATTTAATAATGAAAACAAAGAGGCAGGAATATGTAGGGGGATAGATTGAAAAAGATATAGAAACTTTGGAAGAATCGACATTTTTATAATATTAATGCGACCTATCATGGAGATTGGCATCGTGTCCCATCTCTCTAATGATTCTAAAACCTTTTGAACTAGAGGGTCATAATTGATAGAAACAATTTTCTTTATGTCCGGGTTAACCTGGATTCCCAAATAGGTAAAACCTTCGTAGGTGCAGGTAAATTGTGTTTGGATAGGAGGGTTGTTTTTGTTCAGAAATAACAGGGAGCTTTTCTTCTGGTTAACTTTGTATCCAGAGAAATGACCAAAAGTCTGCAAAATATTTCCCACTGCATGAACTGACTTCTCCAAGTTAGTTAAAAATAAAACAATATCATCCGCAAAAAGGGACAACCGATGTTCAGTTTGTCCTATTTTTATCCCAGTCAGCTCGGGGGAGTTGTGTATAGCCATAGCAAGCGGTTCAATGGCAAAAAGAAACAACAGCGGGCTAAGGGGACAGCCCTGTCGAGTGGATCTACAAAGTTGTATAGGTGTAGACAACTGACTATTTGTTACAATTTTAGCAGTCGGTTCCGTGTACAATAATCGGACCCATTTCAAATATTTTTCTCCCAGACCAAATCTTTTGAGGGTTTCAAAAAGGTATCTCCATTCTATTCTGTCAAACGCCTTTTCTGCATCTAATGACAAAAAGGCATGGTCAGTGGCAGATTGTTTTTTGTACAATATATTCAAAAGTCGACGAATATTATGAAAGGCTTGGCGGCCCAAAATAAATCCATTTTGATCATTAGAAATTAATTTTGGAGTGTGTGATTCAATCCTGCGAGCCAAGGCCTTGCACAATATTTTAGTGTCACAGGACATTAGTGATATGGGGCGATATGAACCCATTTCTGTTGGAGTTTTACCTGGTTTTAGAATGACAGAAATGGAGGCCATTCTCAAAGACTGTGGTAGAATACCTTTTTCATAGGATTCATTAAACATTTCAAGGAGGTGTGGCAATAATTTGTCAGGGAATCTCTTATAAATTTCAATTGGGAGTCCGTCAGGGCCTGGGGCCTTGCCACTGTTCATATGACGAAGTGCCTCTTTAAGTTCTTCTACACTCAGTTTTTCATCGAGGTTATTTTTAGTCTCTTCAGGTAGGATTGGAAATTGCAGTTGATCTAGAAATTGATTCTGTGGATTTTCATTTTCAGGATATTCAGATTTATACAAATTTTCATAATATTTAGCAAAAGCATTGTTTATACGTGTTGGGTCTACAACATTTTCTCCATCGTCCAGTGTAATTGAGTTAATAGCTCTATCTGATTGTATTTTTTTGAGCCTCCAGGCCAGGAGCTTCCCTGCCTTCTCACCCTGATCATAGTAGGACTGTTTCAACCACAATAAGTTTGTAGCTATTTTGTTAGCGCTGAGTTGGTTATATTCAGACTTTAATAATAGAAGTTTCTTATATTTGTCAGCGTCATCTTGATGATATAATTGGTCTTGCAATTCCTTTGTTTGTTTTTCAAGGTTCTTTAGTTTACTCAAATGAATTTTTGATTTACTTCTAGTGTAGCTTATTATTTCCCCCCCTTATATAGGCCTTAAATGCCTCCCATTTTATCGATGCACTGGTTTGGTTTGTATTGAAGGAGAAATAATCTGTTATCTTCCCTTCTAGAAATTCTTCAAACTCAACAGATTTCAACCATTTCGCTTGGAATCGAAATGGGAGTGGATGGGAACTAAAATTGGGTATCTGAATGGATAAAATAACTGGGGCATGATCAGAGAGTAGAATAGTTTCGTACCAACATTTCTGAACCAGAGATACCAGACTGGAGGAGACCAAAAAAAAATCTATACGCAAATAAGTTTTGTACGTGCTGGAGAAACATGAGAACTCTGCCTTATCAGGGTAAATATGTCTCCAAACCTCGACCAAATTAAGGTCTCTCATGAATTTCCCAATAGTTTTTCTTGCTTGTTGGTGGGAGGTGTCAGAGGTATTTGATCTGTCCATTGTAGGATTAATCACACAGTTAAAATCACCTCCAATGATGTACTGGCCACTATAAGATGAAATAGTTAGGAAGAAATGTTGGTAGAAAGCAGGATCGTCCCCATTAGGGGCATATAAACAAACCAGATTGACTAAAGTTGAAATTATAGTACCACTAAGAATAATAAACCTCCCAGAAGGATCCAAGTATTTATCTCTTAATTGAAACGGAATTGACTTGTGGATCAGTATGATGACACCTCTAGAATGAGAGGAAAAACTAGAGAAGAATACCTGTCCAGGCCATCGGGATCTCACCCGGTTAATATCTTTCTCCAGCAAATGAGTTTCTTGTAAAAAGCATATTGTGGTCTTCATCTGCTTTATTCTACCCAATACTTGCTTAAGTTTAACAATTTTATTTAGGCCACGTACATTCCAAGTGGCCACATTTATAGTGGAGCTACCTGACATAATACAATTAACTTTTTATTTTATTATGCCAAAAGAGAGTGGCTGTACCCTTTTCAGTTTCACATCCATGTTTTGTAGACACCTTAAATACAAACGACCTTGAGTGAAGCTCCCAAAATAAAACCCCGCACATTTCCCCAAAACTGATTCAGCTTTTTGAAGTCCAAACATTAAACTATAGTCCAGTTATTTATCTATCTATGACCCAAAGAATGTCTATTAATTTCTAGTCTGTGTCTGTTATCTTTATTTAAAACAAAAACAAAAATCTAGTGACGTCCTCTTGGCCCGATGGATTTTCCCTACAAGATTACACTAGACTCTAAAGCAGTAAAGCAAGATCAATGCATGAGTTACTATGACGACTAGACCTGAAGCTTTTAGACTTCCCAGTATTTCTGATTCAAACTCTACTTTGTGCTCTACCCCTTTAACCCGTCCATGTGCTTCATACGAATACAATGTGTGGACTGTTTTATGGTAGATCATTGTGACTGCTCTCCAGACCACAGCTGCTTTGTTGATGTCTTTATGCTCACCTGACCTTTCTCGCACAATTTTTGGACAACAGCTTCCTTGTCTCATCTCGCACCTGCAAGAGTCAACACCAACGTCAAACAAAGATATCATCATAAATCTAAAGTAAATTCTCTTTTTCCCAGGTGTGCTGTGGTCTGCTGCAGTGCATTAACTTTTCCCTTCACACTATAGCCTGTCAGCAAACAAAACCTATACATATCTTTTCTTGCAAAGTGGCAGCACTTGATAGTTTCTTCTTGAAGAATTTCACCGGTGTAAACAACGTCAAGCGCTGTCTTCTCCAGCCACAAATTGTATGAAAGAGGAAACCGTTTATGGGCGTTCTCCTGACAGTTTTTGCTGGGTTAGACATTAGCTTTGCACTGACCCCTTTTATCTGAGTCTGATGGATTGGGCTTTGGGGAACCGTGAGCTCTTCTACAGGTCCCGTGTCACTTCCTAATTGCTGTTTCTGCCCTGAAGCTTCAACTTGTGTCAATCCCAAGGGAATTTTTAACCATTAATTACTCACACATCATGCTATAGCGATTAGGGACCAACCACAGGCCCCCAAGCAGTTCTCCCAGAGCAAGAGAATGTCAAGTGAGTGTTCAGGTGGTCTCAGTCTTGTCGAGTGAAAGTACAGAAGGAGAATCTGCTTTTGCTTGGGTCCAACTAAATATTGTTGTTTTGCCTAGGAGTTTCACAGAATGGCATTTAATTTTCCGTCGAAGCAAGTGACATAAAGCAGGGATACAAGAAATAATGTGTTGATTGAATTTATAAAGTTACGCCTTTTCCATATAACTCATAAGTCAAATAAATGTAGCAGTATTGTTAGACTTAATCAGGTAAATCCAACATGAAACATTAGTGTGGAAAAAGTTGCTAATTGTTCATGAAAGATGCAGTCAGTGATCTTTTACTGACGCATATTTTTTTAATTATTGTGGGAAAATGTCCCTAATCCCTAAAAGTAGTCAAGTTATCATGTGTTTTCAAATAGTAATGGAATTGACCAGATGCCTATAATCTCCAAAAATTAATACAAAATATTTTGGAGCGGACGGATAAAAATAAAGCCCCAACTGAAAGATCTCATGGTTTAGAAACCATGTTAACCTTTGTTTACTTGTAAGAAAGATCCCTGTGAGTTTCTATTTGATGCTTTGGGCTGAGAGCTAATTGGCTGAATGATGGTGTTCCTCTATTTTTTACTTTTTCTGCCTGAAAAAGCTGATCTATAAATGTGACAGAGGCCAAGACATACATGCATGTGAAAACTAACCATAGAACTCTTGCCAGGAACTTATTAAATGAATTTGGTTGGTTCCATGGTTAAAGTTTCAATAGTGCGTGGACAGGGCATTGTTTTGAGTGTTTGATTGACTCCCTCCGCAATGTGGCAATGGATAAAGCAGAAGAAAATGAATGGATGGATGGGTTTTAATGGTGGAAATGACTTGCACTATTGCTGGACAATACAAAATAATTGGCCAAAGTTTTATGTGAGTCTTGCTTGAACACACCAGCGACACTTCAGTGCTATACTGCAACTGAAAGTGTAACAATTTAATGATTAAATAGATCAAAAAGACCACCAACAAGATGTGTTTTAACAGGAACCTGAGTCTCATTTGCCCTGAAACCTCATCTGAGGAGAAGTGTCTGCACGGCGCCCCTTTTCAGCACCCCACAAACTTCTGCTTCCCAAAATATAAGAGTAGTCCCAGCTGAACCAGTGTCTGTGCCTGTATGGACAAGATGGAATCCAAAGTCATGTTTTTATGATGGTGTAAAGGTTTTTCTGCATTTATTGAAAGTATTAGTTTGAGATTAGTTCTATTCTAAGTTAAGCTATATAGATATTTGCTGTTATCTAATGACTATGGATTAATTGACCCTATGTTGACACTATGTAAGGTTACTCTGAGGACTTTGCAGATTGACTCAAATAACATTTTGTCTTTACTAAACATGAATTGTGACTAGAGCACTTGGATCTCCTAGTGTAAATAATTTAAATGTAAAGGTCATGGGTCTGGAATGTACAAACTAAACATTGTTTTTCAACTGCATCCAAACAGTACTCTCAAAAAATACACTTTATGTCACGTGGGCCCAAAGTGTTTGGGCCCACGTGTTTTGAAGCATCCTGTTTCAATAAAAAGTGAGTATATCAACTATTTTGAATGGAGAAAAAGATCATTCTTTTAATCTTGTTTTTATTTATGTGTCTGGTGCACACTGGGAACTCTTGCAAATGTATTCCAATGTGGTTCTACTGCAAACGGCAAAAAAACTGAATCTGAATCTAATAATAACTTAAACAAAGTGGATTGGAAATGTGTCTGGACGAAAATGTAAACAAAACGGGTCCATACTTATCTGTGGTCCTTTGACACATTTTTTTTTTTTTTATGTAGAAATGTTGAATAGTTTGGACGGAATGTTGTTGAGTAGAAATTGTTTTGTCTGCATGAACTGGACCTCAGCCGACATCAGCAGACCAGACCTCACACTCATATGACCCACGGAGCAGCTCACAATGTGGATCCTCATTGATTTGAGCAGAAAATGTGTCAAAAGACCAGTATTTTGTTCCATGGCTCACTTTTTGCTGAGATAGACTGAAGTAAAGATAAGTAGATTATATATAGATTATAGGTATAACAGCATCACTCTTATGCACATGCCAGTTAACAGGCATGCAGAGGCTAATGTAGGTAAACACTTGAGCCAATCTTCATCTGCATTTTTATTTGCTTTGTTGATGTAATGTAGATTTCAATTACACAGTTCACACATAAACTAGATGAATTGGCAAAATCACTTGGCATTAGATATTGCTGTGGGCAAGATTTACTGTTGTGGCCACTAAATCCTTCCCTTGTTCTACATAACATGTACAATCATAGTTTACAAATCATGGTTTTGATTTGAGTTTTGAATTAATTTGTGGGCAGACTGGCTGCTGTAAATCCATACACAAATGTAGTTATCTATGTTGTGAGTCTATTTCCCTGTGTTCTTATACATTATCTCCCACCACCACTCTCCTCTGTTCAGAAGACCTCTTGTGTCTGTGGTAGACTTTACAACAGAACATTTAGAATTCATTGTAGACTTGCTGACTGCGTTCACCACTGCACACTGCTGCCCAGATGGCTCTGACATTTGAAAACTATACAAAGAGCTAGTCCACTGGGTTATATTTTCACATAAAAAGCTCAAGTGTATGGCAGGCTTTCTATATTATTTTCCTGTAAATATTACACATGGTTGCTACAGATGCTGTATCATGTTTTCCCATTACTATACTGTACATACTATGGCTGTTAAAGCACCGAATTCTTGTTAATTGCTCCAACTTCCCCATGGTGGGAATCAGCCTGATCGCCAAGGACATCTTATCATATAACGTTCAGCTAACAGTAGTAACATTTCGAATAAAGTGCTAGGAGAAGTTAACTCTCTAGGTAGTATTGATTGAACCATGTACAGACAGCGATGCTCAGTTTCACAGATTTTAACTAAAATAATCTGTTTCTATAATTAATGTGAAAGTCAGCACCGGTTAGACCTGCCCTTGCTTTCCCCCCTGTTTCCAGAAAACTGATGTCCAATCCTTGATGGATGGGCAAGCTCCCTCCCCATTGGTTCAACTATTCTCCTCCAGCAAATCTGGCGGAGCTTATGCAAATCAGAGGAACTATGTAATTATTAGGCCTATTATCATTATTATTGTTATTATTATCAATATTCAATGGGGCTAAGTGGTTAATATATACAGTCTATGGTGGTTACCCGTGACATTTTAATTGTGAATTAATTTTGAAGTAGCCTAATGTTACTCTAAAAGGCTTTAATTGTGTCCACTGTACTTCCCTACACAGTTGCTGATAGCCGGTGTCTCCCGGTTGGACTGCTCCAGAGTATATCGCTTCGTCACCGGTGTAAACCGTGCGTAAATCATGGCGTGATCCCGGAGAAGCAGCGCCTCCCTGCGCTCAGCCATTGGCCCGGGCTCCGGGTCCACAGGGCGGGGCTGCCTCTCCGCACTCACCAGCCTACAAGCACCGGCAGAAGAAAACTTAGCCCGGCTCGATCCATGGAGGAGTGTGGGAATGCAGTGTCCGTAGGAGGGAACTTGCGCTCGGAGCACGACAGCTGAATCCAAATGTATGAGTGCGTGTCTGTGAACTGTCTGTGAGCACATCCACGGGCCGCCTGGTGGTGGTGTCCTCTGTACAGTACCATCGCTGTCAGCATGATGTGACCAATCATTCAAAGCTACCTGAGGAAATTCATTCACACGGGATTTTTCCGCAGTTGGAGACTACGAGAGCGCCTGGGGAAGAGGGTAAGTTATGACATGACTGAATTATAGGCTCTTGCGCCGCACAGTCTCCAGTGTGGTCGCCCTTACGGACGACAGCAGCAGGGACCGCGGAGGAAGCGCTCCAACGACTTACTACGGGAAGAATACTGGGCTGGACTGACTGCTGGTTACATGTGTGCCATTGAAAGCTTTGTAGTATACTATTAAGAGAGCAGAGCTGTCTTGAAACCATGTGTATGTCCCATAAATGCACTGCTTTGGATTCTTATAGTAAAATGTGGCAATTAAAAGTCTACCTCGGCCTGTCATTACCCAGTGTGTGTGGCATACCTTACCATTGGCACTCAAAATAGACCAATGAGACACAGGCATTGGGCTGTACTTTTGAACTTGAGCCAATTCATTCATAAACATGTATTACATAGTACATACACATGACACTGGATTTATAGACAGGCGAATTAGGAGAACAAAACTATATTTGAAATTATAATTTTTTGAACCCATTGGTCACATGTGTTAGTCACGCCATTTCTTCACACATTTACTTCATCACCTCCCACTCCTTTCTCAAAGCATCAGTGTAGTTAAGGCCTACATGTGTTTCTATGTATCTCAAACAACAGGGGGCATGCTTCCTGTCTGACCACACCAATGACATAATTTGGCCCAAGGTGTGGTCCCCGCTGCTGCTGGTGATGGTAATTGCTCTAATTATCTTCTGTGGTCTTCGTTATGAGTATTATCGGAAATAATGTGCACTTAGTTCTTGTTTAGACCTGGTGTAGGCATAACCTGGATTAGACCTTGACTCAATTCAGTCCTTGTTGTGGGCAGTGGCTCAGCGCTCGCCCACAAACTCAAAGGTTAGTGGTTTGATTCCGGATTTGGTCAGTGTGTAATGAAGTTGTTGCATCCACTGGCAAGACACTATTTGAGCCTATATGAATGTGTTTAGTGATTGCTGGTGGTCGAAGAACCTCATACATTTATTTAACATTACTATGTGGGTTTCCTCCATGTGCTTTGGTTTCCTCTACGACTAACACATAAAGCTCTGGGAGTGTTGACGAAGCTGGGCATCAACATCTGAGTCCCTGGAGGCTGTGCTATGGCAACCACTGCTCCTGACAGAGAAACCCTGGTGGCATTGTCCCCATAGGCAATTTTTTTCTAAATTAAGTGCACCTTATTTGCAGGACTTCACAATGTTTATATTCAGATAGAGACAGGTCAGATGTGTGGATTGTATGGAAGTATGTGTATTACAGATTTGGCTGTTTGGCTGTCAGATTACAGATTGGTTATATTATTTTTAATGTATGTAATAGTTGTGCAATTTCTACACATGTTCATATCACAACAAAAACCTTTCTGTCAATAATATACTTTACATATCTTTTCAAAGAGGGTGCTATCTAGAAGAAGTAATTACGATTACAAGCTCTGGAAATTGTCACATGTTTTGACTGCTATAGTTTAAAATCAGTTTCAAAAGCAGAGCCATATTTTACTTCAGGTATTACACTTAATTAGTTTGTATTGGTTGAGTCCATGTTGAGTCTTGTTTTGGCCTGGATACTTTTGGATTGAGCGCTACCTTTTAGTGGCCTGATTTTTCCCTGGTATTGGAGGATTTGAGAAGGGATAGAGTGTTTTCAACCATGAATGCCATTTTCCTTTATCCTTCGTTTTGACCCATGATAAAGAACTCCCCAATTGAAGGGTCTGAGAAAACAAACGCGCCGTGACTCAAACTGACTCATGACCATCACAAAAGAGCTTGAATGCACCGGGCACCAGGGACCATTCCTTTAAAAAAAATGACTCATGTGAAGTCCAAAACCCCCCGCACTTCTGGAATCAGTCCCTATTGTCCTTTTCAAATGCTTCAGCGGACTACAATACATGAAGTGAAACCGAACACTTACTGTATGAGAAACTGCTGAGTTATTTTGGCAGACGGGACATCAGAGCACATGGCCTGGTTTTGTGCCCACAGTGAAAGCTTGTCACATGGAGAGAGAGGAGAGGTATCATCGTGGCTGGAGGTGATGTAATCTGACTGATAAAGAAGGGCCATCTCCAGTTTTAATCCAAGCTGACCCCCAGAGACACATGCAGAAGTAGCACACTGTTTATTAGTTGCTAATTATGGAAAACGGCATGCACAATATGTAGAATTTCAATCAGGGATCAACATCATTATGTTCTAGTTTACATGATTTTTAAAAAGGATATTTGTAGTTGTATTGTGGCTTTAAAAAATGGACTATAACCTTTTTATGTTTAAATTTAGCTATGAAGTTTTGTGACCACTACAAACAAACAATGGTAATACGTCATTAGACTAAATAGGGTGGTTTTAAGATAATCTTTAGTTTTAGTCAGGGCTGTAACTAACTGTTACTGCAGTTAAAGACATGTTTTCTTTCATTAGTTGACTAGAAGGCTGAATATGAAATGTTTTTCAAATTCCAGATGAGTAAGTAAGTTTGTAAGTAATGTTTATTTATATAGCACATTTTTACAGACCGAGGTCACCCAAAGCGCTTTACAATGTTGAGATATGATTCCATTCTCTCCACACGGTGATTACGTTACCAAGAATGGTACAAAATAACTGAAAATAAAATAAAAGTGCATACAAGTCACTAAACTCAAAAACGCATTAACTTCAGTCATTTAGGATTGTGCACATAATTATAGTGCATTCCTTGCTACTGTATAAACTTGATAGTAGTTCTGTCAACGGATGTCAAAATCCACGCTCTGAGAGACAGCAAGTGAGAGGGTTGCCATGATGTTGCAACTCTTTTTGGCAGAATTCAGCACAACATTTTAATGATGCAACTATCGGAAACGTTCTTGGTTCTATTTAAACAGCTTTTCTTAGTACTTAGTTCTTAGTGCTGGAAGGTTAAAACACGCACCAACACGCTATAGGGCTCGTAACAATTTTGCAGGGGAAAGTTGTTAATGCTAAAATAATGAATGAATAACTGTAGTTTTTATGGCAATATTGTTTTTCATTATTAATAACTATGAACTGACAAAGTTCAGTATTCCAGGGCTGTAATTGGCCAATTACATTCCTGGTTGACAACATGCATAAAAAAGGGGTGTGGCAAAAACTCTGTAAACAAGAATATTTTAAGCATTAAAGTGAAGGTCAAATACTTTACACATTTTTAAGATGTGGAGACATTTTTTGAATAGAGCCGCAGTTAAACCCGCCTCTATAACTTTCTGATTGGCCGCGGTTGAATTGAGGCCGCTCCCCATTGATCTAACTATTTTCACCCAGCAAATATTACTGGTGATGCTAATGCCAAGTAGAGGGACTGCTACTTAATATGAACTTTTAATGAAAAAGTGCTAATTTAAATTGTAACTTAGGGTCATAAGGTCAAAAAATATGTATCCCTATATAAATTACATACAACTTTAAAAACTCACCTCACAAATAATACTATTATTAAAGGAAAGTGAACCATGTGAAATATAGTTTGATCTGGCTTGATTATAAAAGTAAATACCTTCCTATATATTCAGCAAAAATTAGAAGCGATAAAGCAATTTAGCAGTTATTTTTTCATTGAAATTAATTAGGTGACTTTGTTTTTTAATTTAAATATGGCCTGAGGTGGAGCTGAGGCAGGTGGCATCAGAGTGACATCAGAGTGACGCATGGTGTGGTATGAATTGCATGTGTTTTTGTCTGCACCGCTGCACTGATGCTCCAATTACTCCCCTTCAAAGGATTCCCAAAGCAGGTGTGGGTGTTCACATTGTCCAACTTAATTCAAACCAAAGTCATGTAGCGCAGGCACACGCACTTCCCCGTGGCACCAGAAGTGTCCTAATCTCTTCAAGATGTCACTCTGTTCTCTATCTACGTGCACAGGAACGCCGTAATCAAACAAGAATGGTTTCCCTTTGATCCTCTGATGATGAGATGACAGACATTCACCAAAACACAAAACCGCCACATTTCCTGGACATTAAGCTTCTCAAATCGACAAATCTGTGCTCCCTTTAGCAAAGCGGCTTTTTTGTGATTTAGTCATTTTGAGTATATCTGGTTTGACGTTGACATGAAAAGACTAAGAGCACCATTGATCTGAGCACTTCCATGTGTGGAGATTGCATGCTGTGTAATAAGCCATGGCTGCCGCTCTCAGTACTACATCAAGTGTGAATAGTGGAGCAGTCCAACCGGAAAAATCAATTGTAATTTTTGCTGTTTAAGTCTGATTAGAAAACAATTATAGAAATGTATGTAAAGGGAGTTCTCTCTTCTCTTGTTCTGGACGTAGAATCACCTTTAATTTCCCCTACAGGAGTTTTTCAAAATGAAGGATTGGGCCTGTCTCTAATAACTCAGTTTGACCGACGGAGAATTGCTTCTGTAAATCATTGCGATAAACAACTGCTTTATGCCACTGTTGAGAGTACAGTACAGCAGGATAATACCAATAGAAAACCATTTTTTTTGTATACATTTCATTAAAAAGTATGTACTATAATATAATCAGTAGAATTAATTAAAATGAGAATCCACAAAAGAGTAGTAACATGTTTGAATGTTGTTTTATGCATAAATATTTAAGCTCAAAATATGTTGTTTTATCCATCAGTTATTGAGTCAAGTTATTGATACAGATCTAAATAGGGTTGTTGCGTTCGTAATCGCACTTTGCTGCTCCATCTTCAATAAAATAAAAAGGAGAAAGTGAGAAACACTGTCTACACATTTTGACTTGTGTAACTGCAGCAACTTGGTAAAAGTCAACAATTGAATGGTATATGTATTTCTTTTTATTAGTAATAGACAAATATGACAATACATCTCAGATATTTTAGAATGTGTGCAGTCAAGGATGAGATGACCAAAGTAGAAAAATCTCTCCTGAAGACAAGGGCTGGCACATTTTTCAGATCCTTGCGTAAAAAGTCTTCCCATACTTTCAGTCACGTTCCAGTAGACTTCGTTGTATCGTAAATAACTGCTTGGTTTCTCATGCGTTCTTACATAATGGTTGAACGTCTGTAATTACAGCAGTGAGACTTTGTAAAACTTCTAACAATAGTTTGTGATGCTGTGAGGAAGTGGGGCAGGGCCGCGGCGTTGAAGCAGGTCAAACATGTGAACAGACTGGTTTTGCTGCTTAGCGTCATCCTTCCTGGGTTACTGTGTTGGTTACTATATCCGACCACTAAACCAACAAAACTGAGGGAAGAAGCTTGTTGCCATGTTTAAAAATACTGCACTTAGAACTAAAATGTAGTGGCTTTCTCCATACTACATGATTTGAATGATTTGCAAAATATACAGAATATAATTTCTTTCACTTTTTACCACTTATCATATAATGTCTTACTTCATTATTTGTTCCAAAAATATTTGACCATCTTGAGTAAAAACATAAAGTTTACAAGGAATATTATATTTTTTGTTGTTGCTAGAATCCAAATGGGTTGCATTGATGAAAGCATGTATTTTTTTGAGTAATTGAATTGATTAAAGGGGATTAATTGGCTTGTCAGAGTTATTATTGACATTTTTATTCTAATGGTGAGAATGAGGACAGGACATTTCAAATGGTCAACTTGAGAGAAATTCAGACAACAACATGTAAAAAAATGTAAATGTTTTATTAGAAAACTCTGGCATACTGAGAGTTGATTGGCTTTGCTCTCTTTCACTTCTGTCTGAAAAACCTGATCTAAAGATTTGAGAGTCCGAAAATACGTGCATGTGAAAACAAAGCAACTAGAAACAGTTTTGAGAGCAATAAAACTTTTTTTTTAACATGCTTTTAGTGCACTTCCTTGTCTTAACTACAAGATGCTTTCAGTAATAAGAATAATTGGTATACACATCACTAATTGGTGCATACATCTCTCTCAAAACTAGGGATGCACCGATACTGCTATCGGGTATCGAGTCGATACCAAAGGACCTGAGCTGGGTCCTTTGGTATCCATACCCACGTTTTTAATTTACTTTAGCATCACGCCATGCAGATTTCCTGAAGTCTGCAGCGAGAAAAAACTTGCCGCTAGCTTAGCGGCTGGCTAGCGAAACTGGGATATTTCCCACCTTCAACTGGGACAAATGCCCCTGGACAAATGCCCTGCTCAAACTGATATTTCCCACTGGGACAGGAAGGTGCTCCCACATCACACATATGGGATAAACTGTGATTCACATAAAACCTGAATCAATGTTGCGTCTGGTGCGTGTCTATTCTGGCATGTGAGCTGATTACAATCCAAACAAACATTGATTTTCACCCAGAAGTGCTCTTTTCTGTCGTCCTGTTACGTGTTGCAAGCTGCTTGATACTCTTTGCCCCGCTTTGCAATCTGGAAATGCTGGATATTCCTTGAGCTTCCCTTTTTGACAGCTGGCCGCGTGACTCAAAGGCACTTGCTTCTAATTTTCCCATGACTCTTTGGCGACGGTGGCCATCTTGGCGTGGTGAAGTCACTTGTGATGTAATGTATCAGCAGCAGGTCTATATTGGTACCAACTCCAGGACACTCACTCTCCCCCCTCTGTGGAGCTTCCCCCCCCCCGCGTCTGGCAACATAACATGCACCTACCCTGTCTCTCTCTCCATCGGCACCTCATCTGTCAAAACCCAGACAGCCATGTGATGCCCCACAGTCACAGCAATCAGCACAACGCTTTGATGCAACTTGTTGACAAAAAAACTGGGTACAAGCATGGATCTATAATGGGTACAAGCCTTTGTTTCCACAGTTAGTTCCACTTGGAGGAAATAGGGTGTTGTGAGCAGTCTATTCAATAAGACTCATATTGGAACAGTCTTCTTTTTGACAAAAAGAGAATGGCCCACATTACCTGCATTTTAAATCACACCTGAAGCAGTAGAAGAAAAACCACGTTGTGTCTCCTGCCTATAGAGCCTACAGGTTGAAACTCGCACTTTGGCTGAAATCTGGCAGATTTACACTGTATTTACACCTGTTCATTAATATGCACTGTCTCTATCAAATAATTCGAAACTATAAGTTGACCAAGTAATAATAATAATACATTGTACTTTTTTCGGACACTCAAAGACGCTTGAATAAACAGATAAGTGTAGGATGTTTTGAACAGATGGGTTTTGAGCGGTGATTTGAAGATCTGAAGAAATCCATTTGCGTGACCTTTGTTAGTGAAATGTGCTATATAATTTTTTTTACTAAGTTACTTACAACAACAGCTCACAATATTATATATCCTGAGCATTTTTTAAAACAATTTTGAACCAATAGCCACCGCTAATAAAAGCCTATTTCATATTTTTCTTCTTTTGATCCCTTTTGGTTCATGATCCCTATGTCCACTGCTTTAAATGTTTAAATGACTGTAAACTTGAAATATAGTTCTGGTGTCATCAAAAGCACTCAATAAGAGCTTGTCAAAATCAATGTGGTATACAGGTATAGTATAAAATCTACTCATTAGTATGGAAGTCGACAACACAACAACACACAAGTGCAGTATTCTGACTTCTTATTGGCTCTGTGTCTGGGGCTGGTTAACCTTGGGGTGAAGCTTCTGGGCTGTGGGAGCGTGCTGTGCTTTTCCCACATGGCTCATGCCTATAGAAACATGCACCACAGCCTTTTGAACTTCTTTTCTTCCTTTTCGATAATATTTTGTATGTGAGAGCTGTCAAATGGAGCCTGTCTGTAGATAATCTGCTAAACACATCTTCATCTTTTTGAGCCTAGCGGTAACCTATACGTTAGATGTTTGTATGTGGTGATTAAGGCGAGCTCTCATCAGGAAAGTGCTGTTTCAAAGGTACATGGCCCTATTCATAGGCCTGTCGCAATATTCTATAAATCAATTAATCGCATGATAATTTTAATTAGCTCAATCATTTTTCTTGGCCCGCGATAAATACCATTTGCATACGTGTTATATTATCACTTGCATATAGTAACATCGTTATTCGTCTTCGTGCTGTCTCTACCAACGACAATAACACGTCTTCTATCTGAATTAAAGACACAATCCCAGACTTTGTCATCTTCTTTAATACAATCACAGATTTATTAAAAACATAAGTAACGTGCAAAATCAACAATATACGAGGACCGATTTTCTCTCCCGGTGAATGAGATAATTGCGTCCCTCCCAGTGGGGGCGGGTCCCGGCTCAAAAGTGGCCAAAATGTCGTGCGCTGACATGCTTTCAATACCACCCCGGGCCGATGGGGGTGGACCCGGAATAAAAATTAGCCAATGCTAACATATAGCATTAGCTGACCTCTCGAAAACGTCTTTACAGGATAGTCCAAAAGTTGGCTCTTGGCCCAAAGCTCCGTTCCACATGTGTGTCAAAGCTGAGGGGAGTGAATTTTTTTGGACCAGTCTTGTTTACTCGCTGTGAATTTTTGAAGTCACTTGTTTAAATCAATGGGGCTCGTGCCGGCTGACGCATGCGCAGATGCGTCTTTTCACATTTTCCAGCCCCCGCAGCCATTTTTAATCACTCCATGAAAGCCCAATTTGCCACCATTTATAAGGTTAGACACCACGCCCACAGGTTATGAATCTCCAATTCACGGCTGAGAGGTCAGTGTGTGTCATTGTGATGGTTTGCCAAATATGGACAAAACAATAGAATCAGACATTCTGTTGCTTTGCTGACACTTTGGGGATAATTTGACACATTTCTGAGGAGAGGTCAGATGTGCAGATCAACAAACATGTACAAAACAACAAGATCAGATATCCCATTGCTTTGCCTGCAGTTTGATGGTCCCTTGTGTGATTGTGCAACTCTAAATGTGCCAAAAAGAATCAGTAGGTGAGGTCAGTGTGTGTCATTGGATTCAGATCCAATGACACACACTGGCCCATCGGAGAGGATAAAGAACCAACCCCCACAGACGACTCCTGAGCTGTCATAGAATTTGGACCATAATCCCAAGCCCTTGTTACATTACTGACACGTTCACTTCTAATTGGGGGTTTAGCAAACCTGTAGCAATGCAAGTTTTAGCTCCTTCTTAAAAGAAAGACGCGTAACTAATGCAGGGTCTCACAATGAGCTGGAGTAATTGTGTGTGGAAAGGGAAGTACGGGCGTCTCTGCTTAGACTGCTGCCCCCGCAACCAGGCAACGGATGAAGCGGAAGAAAATAGATGGATGGGTGTGGTTAGACACCCCATATGAGGGGTCTAATCACACCCTGGTAAGGCCTCCCATGGCAAACAGGTCTTGTGTTTGCCATGCGAGGGGGGGAGGAGGGGTAGAGGTTACCACAGAGAGACCATTTATAACCTGTGGGTGTAGTGTCTAACCACACCCACAGGTTATAAATCTCCAACTCATGGCTGAGAGGTCAGTGTGTGTTGGTTTGCCAAATACGGACAAAACAATAGAATCAGACATTCTGTTGTTTTTCTGACACTTTGGGGATATTTTTGGACACTTTTCAGTTCACATATCCAAGTTTTAGCTCCTTCTTAAAAGAAAGAGACGTGACTAATGTGGGGTCTCACATGTTGGGGAGTTGTGAGGATTGGAGCGACTTTGTTTGGGACTTTGGAGTCGTTTGCTAGGCCTTGGGGGAATCTGGCAACCGGGTGGCTGGTTCTGTACGTTCCAGTTCTTCCAGGCTGTCTTGGTGTCATGGGGGGACGTGTATGAAACATCACGGCTAATGTGTCTGGATCCAAACCTGGGACTTCGCTTCGCTTTGCCCCCCGGGTTGGGATTCTAACCACCTTCACATTGCCCACAATTCCGCATAGTTCCTCCTCCTCTGGCAATGGTTTTGACTTCACCTGACGCTGAATTTCAGGATGCTTTCCTCTCTCAGACTTTGTTTCACCTGTTGGTGCCTGAACTGGGATTATGCTCAGCTTCTTTTTTGGATTACTAATTACAGGTAATTTCAATTCCTCACACTTATTGTCCAGAGCAGGCTTGGAACTATCTTCTGTCAGGACCACACTGTTTCGTAAATTTGACCTCATAGGAAGAGATGATCCCCTAGATTCTCTGTTGGCCAACAACTTTGGTGATGGTTGGTCCAACTTTTTGACTGGCCCTAACCCTAACCCTTGGCAAACACTAGGGGATGGCTGTTTCTGCTCCTGTACTCTTACTCGTTTCACACTCTTTGGTTTTGGAGAGGTGTTGCCTTGAGGTACTGTCACCTGTTTTTTGGGCGTCTCATCGGTCAAAATTAAAGACTGACGAGGCTCAAACTTTCTCTTGGAGTTCACGATGAAGCCTTGTCCGTCCTTGTAGAAGTGAAGGCGATTATCGACTTCACCGTTTCTTTGGCCCCACAGAGGAAGAGCGATACGGTTTTCCATGGAAGCTCTATGGATGGCCATCTCCACTTGCTCCTCGTACTCTTCCTGTTTTGTCTCCTTCTGGGTCTCTCTCTCCTCCTGCGCCTGACTTTTATGCCGTTCCTCCAGAAGGCGCTTATTGTTCTGAGCACACTTTTCCGTCCGCCGCCACCTTTGCTGGGCCTTCCTGCACTCTGACTCCAGCCCACATTGGTGGCGTGTCTTCATCTGTTCTTGCACCAGATGGATCTGCAGAAGTTGCTGCTCTCTCTTCTGCTTGAGTTCACGCGTCACCTCAGCACTTAATTTGTCTCTGGCCTCAGCCTGTCTCTGAGCCAGTTCCTCCTGCTGCAATCGCAACCGCTGCTTCTCTACATGCTCATGTATTATGGTCTCAGCGAGTCGAGAGTCCTCATTCTCCAGTTTTATGATCCTTCTCACTTTTCTCCTTGTCTCCATTTTGAAGCTGTAGTGATTTATGAGTCGTCTTGTGTTGTGTTTTTGCGATGCAATGGGCCGCAGGTACCAAGCACTTTGGTCCTATGGTTCAACACACGCCACCTAAGGACAGAATACCTTAAGATTGTGGTGATGTCATTGGCTTTATGACCTATTGTATTGTATGTACTTTATTTGAACAGGGACAGTGTACAGTTAAGCATTAACACAAAAGGAGAGATGCATGTACCAGGTTATAGCAGAGATGCTAATTTCCACCTGTAGTCCCTGGTCCTATTGGTTGTGGGTTTGAGCTGTGGGTTTGAGCCCACCACGACCCATGTCATCTAATCCCACGGACGTCTGCTGTCGTTGTGTCCCTGGGCAACACACTTAACCCCACATTGCCTAAAGCCCCTGCTGAAAGACCAAGGTCATCTCATCGATGACGGAGAAGCCATCATCCTGTGGACCCACCTCCTGCAGGAGGATCAGCGAGGGACTGGTGCTCTGATTGCCACCCCCCCGACCCAGAAACGGATTAATAAGGGGAAGACAATGACATGACATATCAAACTTTACTAGCACTTTACTACATTTGTATGAGATTTGTAAAGGTGTGTTCTGTTGCTGCTCCACTTCTAGGCAGTTCTAAAGAAAAGGTCTCATATCAAAGAGATATTAGAGACTGCGGAAACAGACACGTGTTTCTTGTAATAAACGTCAGAGGAGGGTTGTATGGGGTCTTTATGTGTGAGCACGAACCGATCAATTTAAGAAGGCTTTACAGACTGATTCTGGTTCCAAGTCTGTTGGAACCAGAATCTGTTTAGAGCTGAAAAATATGATGGAATATGAGGTAACAATGCTTGAATAGAGTGTTTTTTTTTTATCTAAGTTTGAGTACATTCTGAGTCTTACAACAAGATTTACTTATTTAACTTTTGTTTATTTAACTGGTTTCTCTCTGGTCTCTCGTCTCTCTCTGGTCCCGCTCTGGTCTCTCCCTGATCTCTCTCTGGACTCTCTCGTCTCTTTCTCATGATTTCTTTTGCTTGAAGGGAGCAGTTGTAGTAGTAGTAGTCCATCACAACATCTAGGACAGGACACAACTACTAGGCCTGTCGCAATATTCAATAAATCAATTAATCGCATGATAATTAAAATTAGCTCAATCATTTTTCTGGCCGCGATAAATTCCATTTGCATACTTGTTTGTTTTCCTCGTCTCTCTCTCTCTCGATCTCTCTCAGGTCAGAGAGCCGCAAAGTGTTCACGGGAACATTAGCGGTCTAGCGAGCAGACTGAAATAACTCAAAAATACAAAATACAGCCAAAACAGGACCCACAGTAAATCAGGACTAAACCAGGACTTAACCAGGATTGACAATGGGGAACACGGTAGTTGTGAACATATGCCAGGCTCTAGTAGTGACTAAACTAGCGCAGCTAGCGTTAGTGTGTTTTCCTTTGCGCAAGTACAGTTTAATAATAAAATAAACTTATGGCGCACCTCTGTGAACACATACTGCTGTTATATAAGGTCTCTGGACAAAGAAACGCTGCAGAGCTGCAATCTTGGTGAAGAACTTTACACAAAAAGCCGCTAGCTTAACTCCATTAGCATCAAAGCCTGCCCGCTACTTCCGCCACTTCCGGCGGTGGTCTTTAAAAATAAAAGTGTATTTCTCTTTGAAAAGGTGTACCTGCATCATTATCATTGTATTAGATGAAAATGATCTCAGAACGACAATATTATCGCTTATTGCAATAATTTCTAAGAAAATTAATCGTCCAGCAAAATGTTTTAGCGTGACAGGCCTACGTACTCACAACATCATGATCTATTGATAGCCTTGCAAAATCCTCTGATGAATAAGTGAGAAATTAATAAAGATAAACTTAAAGATAAACTTAGACAATAGGTCTGGCATGCGCCTCCTGTACTGGCGACCCCGCTCCCATCTCTGTGTGGAGTGAGAAGACAAATGCCCAAAAAATAACAATTGTAAACCACTTTGTGACTCTGGTCTGTGAAAGGCGGTTTATAAATAAAGATTACTTACTTAAACTAAAAGTAGTTGTCACAATACTAAAATGACAGTATCAAATTTCTACACCCTTTCTAAGATACTGAATTTGATTTTATTCTTTGATTGTACATGTTACTTTAATGGCACCACAAGGTTTTTTATCCATTCTGAGATCAAAACTATTCCAAAAATGCTTAGAGAATCTCATATGTTGTCCTGTTTAAGCAATTTATATTATTATTGATAAATGAATATCCAGTTTCAATACTAATTGTAAAAATAATTTGAGTTTCAGTTCTTTGACAACCCTTGCAGAAATATACAGTACATTATTTTATTGCAGGCCTTATTTGAAGAGATGACATTTTCTGATAAAGCATGGGTTACGAAGACACAGATGACACTCATGTAACCACAACATCTGCAGTTTTAAACCTGGCAACTTTCCAAAGTGATTGTAAAATCTGCTTATTATGTCACGTCCCACCATTGGCAAGAGGGAACTGGTGGCACAGTTGTAAATAGGATGCCCCACCTCTACACACACATGCCTTGAGGCCGTGAGTACAGTTTTAAATCACCACTCTTCTCTTTTCCCTCAGCTGAACTTGCACACAGTTATATCAGGACTGTTTCAGTTCCATTATCGCCGACCACGCGGCACAGGCACTTCCCAGAACCAGGGGAGTGCTCCTCTGACCCACACTTTTTGGAAGAGGTGGATCCTGCCGTTTCTCATTCATTTTGACTTTTGGGCCTTTTGGGAAAATCTGATCCCGTGGCCTTTTTCGTTCTCCACTGCCTTCTCCTTTTTAGCCACACGCCAACTTTCCTCACAATCTGTGCCAAAGTTGTAACGCAGCATGCCAGGGAAATTACGTAAAAGATCGGACCCACCCGTCTACAATGGAGGCATTATATACAGTATATAGCGCACTGTAATTTAGCACAATCACTCAAATGCTCTTGTAAAGTGGAGCACATGGAATATTGTTATAATCCTTGACAAGTCGTTCATTCATTCATTTTCAATTCAGACAAAACTCACTTTCTCTGTCATATTATTACCAACTAACTCAGCCATTGTTTTGCAGTTACATTTCTGCAATCAGCTTTGCATGTTGTGTCTTTGGACCGAGACACTTCACCCACGTTGTCTGCATAAATGTGTCAGTGTGACTTGCCGAGCGTGGAAAGGCAAGGCAACCCACCACCTCGTGTCAGAATGAATAATGCACAAAATTGTAAAGTGGCTTGGGGTGTATAAAAGCATCCCACGGTGTGACACTATTACATGTACTTTTGCACTGTTATTTTAGTGAGATTAAGTATAATGTTTGCTTTTTGCATGGTGATTTCTTGTTTTACATTTTAGCCTGACTATTAAATTCAAATTTTTCAGTGGTGGGTTTGTCATGCTAGTAGCCACTGCTTTCTTTCAAATGTTTCACAGTACGTAGGGATGGTTGGACGCAAGATAAAATTCCACAGAATTATGCATGCATGAACAGGATGATCTTGTGATGATTTCTCTATCACATGGTTACTTTTGGCTTGGTGAGTAAGGGCAGCATACAAAACGTGTCTATTACTGGAAAAGATTAAGGAAGCAAAAGGAAGTCAACATTGTGAAATCTTACTTATTAACAGTATGCCACAAACATTTTTTTATGTTATAATTCAGAGATTGTATTGCAGTATGTATTGGTCCAAATTCAATGCAGCAGAAGAATAGATTCATATTTAAAAATACTTTACATTCTCAGTTGATTCAAACAAATTTAGACCAATCAGGGAGCTGCGTGGATGAGCATGGGTGGGTCGAACCAATGTCTTCAGTTTCGTTCTTTCTTCACAGTTTGAAAAGTAACTGACATCAATTTTACAATAAATGTATTAAAAATTATAAATGACAAAAGTTTAATGACAAATTAAACTAACTATTGTGACAGGTCTAGACACTTGAAATTGTATGCAATACTGTGGAACATTCACAGCCATAATATCTTAATTAAATTCAGTGTGGCAGACAAGTAGTGCCTTTTTAATGTGGACTTCAAAAAACCCAAATATTACTCCAAACCCTTGGATATATAAGCTATTCTGAGTATTTCCTGCACCGATGGAAAATCTAACACTATTTCCTCTGAAAAGTTGTGTTGTTTTCTCAAGTTAAATTTGGGCTAAGTCTGCCCCCCCCCCCCCCCCCCCCCACTGTCTTTAGGCCAGGGACCGTCCCGGAGGACCTGCTGCAGCCTTTTCCTGTGCTTTTGTCAAGAGTTTTCCACTGATCTTTAGGCCCAGATGGACGCCTTCATTCTTCTTTCTTCCTGCACCGTCATCCAACGCTATAAAGTGCAAAAATGTCTTGACAACTGGGAGTTTCCCACAATTAATAACTGTACTCTTCAATATGCACCAAGACAATGAGATAGAATTGTATAGTATGGTTTTGGACCTGTGAAAATGCTCATAAGCGTCTTTAATCATCATCCAAAAGACAAGTAAATATTGGTGTTTTTTCCCATCTCTCTGAAGAGAGATGGGGGCTATTTATTTTTAGTTGTTGTTTTTAGTTGTTGAGCTAGTTGTTTTTAGCGGTAGGGGCACCCGGGGGAAACCTATGCAGACACAGGGAGAACATGCAAACACCACTCAGAAAGGTTCTGTGGAGGTGGAATCAAAGCCACGACCTTCTGGCAGAGAGTGATAACCACTCAGCCACCATACATTCAACTTCCTTTGTTCCTTTGTTTTCACATGTTAAATTTCTGTTTGAAGAATTGCATTTGCTGCTGTCAAAATATCTGGTGTCATTATGGCGCTGTGACTCGTGAAAGGCATTCAAATATGATGAGTGCTTTTTTTTGTATTTTTTAGAGGAATAAATTGGATGAATGGATGGTCGGTATGCTATTTAGTTCAGTTTAGTTCATGCTATTTAGTTTTTGCAGTAAAAGACACAATAGATTCCAGGATAACCCAGTT